GCCGAGGGACGTACCGGGAGTACGGTTTCCCGCTCTTGCACTTAAGGACCGTTTCCTTGGAATTTCATCCGAACATAAGACATGTGCGACCACATGGGTGAAATGGGACACCCCTGGCTGAGTAAATTGCTAATAAGGGGAGCCTTGATGCAAAGAGACATGTGGATTCAACGGGGTGGTGTCGGGGAGAACCCCCGGGCTTCCTGGCACAGTATGGTCTGGGACCTAACCTGTTGTTGGTCTGGGACCCGTCTCGTTGGCATATGGTAACCCTGTGTCGGCTTTCGAAATGCCTTGTCGTGAAAGCCCCAAAGTCACCAAACATGGCTGTTTTGCACGGGCTGGGTGACCAAGGCTAGTAACGTCGTGTGGGTAAAGTGTACCCCCTCTGCAGAGGTTATTAAACTGTTCAAACAGCCGTACCCACGGTCATGGGCGGATGTGAGGTGATTCCTAGCGTAGTTTTGTTTAACTACTGCTTTGTGAATTTGCTGTTGTGGAATGGGTTCGATGTTTGGTAAATCTGCGGCTGATGGGATCAGCCAGGCCCGGGTGGCCGTTTTAAGGTTGTTGGCCAGGTGCCAACCTTGAATCAATTCAAAGATTGATACATTGCACATACTCCGACCGGACGAGACGCACTGTCCCATCCGTGTCGTTTGAGAAGCACACACTTAGTTGTTCAAAAAGGAGTTTAAATAAAATCAATTGCAAAAACAACAGCCTTTCCTTTGAAGCCTGCATTAAACACTTAATTCCCATGGCTTGCTGAGTACTCCCGTACTCACCCTTGTTCTATATAAATAATTCCCCCCCCAGTCGCTGAAGAAGATGATGAGGATCCCGCTGACGAGGAGTTCTTCCAGGAGCAAGTCGGCTACGATGAGTTTTAGGGTTTCGGCCTAGTTCCCAAGTCGCGCCTGTGATGTTTGGCCCAAGTCTTGGCTTCCGTTTTCTCTTTTGTAATGCAGTTGTGAGCTCGGGACCTGTCCGCAGCCCAACATGGCTGTACTCCTACTCTGTAATAAAGAGACCTTTGTGGCTGTGATATTCTGTCTTCCTATGATACCAGCACTGTTTCCTGGGACTGGTATCGATTAACAGGTTAATTTGGAGCGTCACGGGCTAGTCCCGTTCGGGGCTAGTTTGGGGCGTGACAATTATTTTGCTATAGTCAACTTACAAATATAAACATTTCATATGAAAAATGGAAAAATAGTCATCGGTGACGAGCTTTAGTTAATGCCCGATAGAGATTAAGTATATAGCCCATCACTGATGAGTCATCTTTGACGGGCCTAGTTGTTATCTTAAACGGGCCTCAAGTTGGTGCACGTCACGGATGATGGTCATCTGTGACGGGCCAGAACTTGAGGCTCGTTTGAGATATGGAATGTTATCTCAATCGGACCTAAAGTTGGTGCCCATCACAGATGATGGTCATTTGTGACGGGCCACAACTTTAGGCCCGTTTGAGATATGGAATGTTATCTCAATCGGGCTTACACTACGGCCCGTCACTGATAGGTGTCATCCGTGACGAGCTTAAGTTTTATGCCCATCTAATATGTCTGTGCGACCATATCTCAATCGGGCACTTTTCGGCCCAATTGAGATGACTTCCTTATGACGGCCCGCTATTTCTAAGCATATTAGAGCCCGTCACAGATAGAAGGATCTGTACTAGTGATGGTGTGCTAGCATGGAGGATAAAAACAGTAGTTTGGCCAACCTCGAGTTGCCACTCTATGTGTTGTCCACACTATATTTATCACAAAATGCTATGCAAAGAGTTTGTATTTCTTTGGGTCTAAGGTTTTCCAAAAGATTATTTCGTAGTTAGTTGAACCAAGGAACCTACGCTCTGTAGGCAAATCCCAACATGTACTCTTTATGGTTTTTTGAGCTTTCATGTAATTTCATCTGCTTGGTCATCAGTGAGTTGTATTTCTTGCACTGTGCTCCAAATAGTAACAAGCTAGTCGATGAGCTCTATGGTCATGTCACCACCGTTTGGGAGGTTAAGGTCTTGGATCTACGTGCTCTTCGATCTCGATGTTCTACTTTAGGGTCCTATTTTTTTCTCCGGGAGATTACGTACAATAGCGGTGCTAGGTCCTTTAACTGCCTACCATGGATCTAGGTGGAGTCCCAGAAACGGATTATGGATCTATCTCAAATTGATAGGGTTGTGGAGATCCATCCAAATCTTTTTCAGAGCTTTTCGTACTGTTATCATAGCCACTTTATTCTTAAAGCTCTTACGAATCTATCCAATTCGGCACTCGACTGCCATTGATTGTTTGCGTGTATTATACAGTTGCACCGGATTAAGAAAAAACAAGAAAAGGCTCAAACATTTGGCTAGCAGAGTGCATCTATGGAAGGAAAAAGTACACCGAAGGTCCCTCAACTTATTATCGGGATACAAAATCGTCCTCCAACCACAAAACCAGATATGCGGGGTCCCTCAACTACACAAAACCAGTCACAATAGGTCCTTCGGCGGTTTTGATCTCAGTTTTATCCTATGTGGCTGCTGAGTCGGTATGGGACCCATGTGGGCCCCATGTCAACGAAACCTAGTTTTCTTCCCCACTTTTCTCTATCCCCTCTCAGCCTCTCTCCCCTCCCCTCCAAGCAGATCGCCGGAGAGGGCACGATGCGGGCGCGGAGTGGCCAGCTGGAGGAGCGGCGACGGCGCGGGGAGCGGCCGGCCGGCCGGCAGAGTAGGTGAGCGGTGGGCGGAGCGGGCGACGACGCGAGGATGAGAATAAAGACGACGCCGACGCCGTACGCGATACGAGCGAGGCGGGCCGCGACCTCGCTATCGTTCGCGTACGGCGTCGGCGTCGTCTTCATCCTCCGCAGCGAGCTCCCCGGTGACGCTCATCGAACTTTTCTCACACCGCCCCAACAGCAAGACGCTCGTCGAGGTCGTCCCGGTCATGGTGGAGGAGCTCTACATCCGAAAGGTAGACGACGAGGCGCTCCCTTACAAGGCCATGGCCGCCGCCGTCCTCGCCAACGTCGTCGAGTCTAGCATTGATCCGGATACCACCGTGGTGAACAAAGAAGGCCACGTCCTCACGTCCAAGTAATCCATCTACGACTTCATCCACATGCTCAAGTGCTTCATTCCTGACAAGCTCAACCTCAGCATCATCCGTGTCCTGTCGCGCTCACCGCGCACACCAATTCGCTCGCCGCCGTGGTCTCGGTCGTCAGGGAGAACCACCGGGGCCACTCCATCGTGGAGCTCCCGAACGGAAGCGCTCGACGTCGCCGCGACGAGGCTGCTCGTCACCTGTCAATGCACATGGGGCACACCATCGCCGAGAGGCTCTGCAAGACGCAGAGCGCCGCCGGCGCCAGCGAAAGAGGCAGACGAGGGGCGGAGGGCCGCGCTGCTGCGGGCGGTTTGCGGTCGTGGGCGGCGGCATGTCAGCGGCGTCGGGCTCCGCGTGCGGGTGTTTGCTCCGGGACCATAGTGCGTCGGGCGGCGTCGTCGTCTCGCCGCGGACTGGTGATGAGCAGATGCAACAGCTGGAGGTCGGCCGGCGGAGAGCCGCCGCCGCCGCCGCCGGTGGCAGCTCCTCCCTCGCCGGCCGCTGCCCGCGCCCGCAACGCCCATCTGCTCTCTGCAGCCGCCGTGGAGAGGGGAGGGGAAGAAGTGGCTGACATGTGGGACCCACGTGGGTCCCACTCTGAGTCAGCTGTCACATCAGACAAAACCGGAGTCAAAACCGTTCAGGATTATACTGGTTTTATAAGTTGAGGGATGTATTATATCTGGTTTTGTGGTTCAAGGACGATTTTGTAACTCGATGACAAGTTGAGGGACCTTCGGTGCACTTTTTCCTCTATGGAAACACGTGTGCATTGATGGGTTGTAAGTCGGTGGGTAAATACTTCATAGTCCATTTTGGGCCCAATGATGAATGAAGCAGAACGCCACTTTTAGCCCAACCCTTTTGACTGATAAATGGTCGCGGACCTCTTAGTGGCACCAAAACGCACTCAATTCTGTAGGGAATAAATATGAAAAACTTTGTATATATCTTTTTGACCCTCAATTTTATAGATGTCCAGCATGAAGATATGTATTATTAGAGGGGAAAAGTAACAACATAAGATTCAGTGCCTACACAGGAGTATATATATGAAAGTGAGAATAGCTAAGAAATACAGAATAGTCTACATTACCCCTAAAGCATTGAGGTTGACTGAATTACCTTTGAACTTGAGTATCGTTTTGCACTCCCAGCTATTTAAATTGGGCAAATAATCCCCGAGCATTATTCCGAGCGGTTTAGGCGGCACAATGCACACGTGGCATGCCAATTTGGCAAAACTGTTACTCCATCCGTTTTATATTATAAGTCAAATAACTTTTTCTTAGTTAAAATTCTTTAGGTTTGATTAAGTTTATAGAAAAAATTAGCAACATTTATAACACTAAATTAGTTTCATTAAATTTAGATTGAATATATTATGAAAATATTTTTATTTTGTATTAAAAATATTAATATATTTCTCTATAAACTTAGTCGAGCTTAAAGAATTTTGACTAAGAAAAAAGTCAAACGACTTATAATATAAAATGGAGTACTTGTTAGCAAAGCGCACGCCAGGATTAAAACATATTCCCCTCTTCTCACATATTCACACACACACCACCACCACCACCACCACTACCAAACTCCCATCCCCCTCTTCCGGGGAGTTGGGTCCCTTTTAAAACAAAGGAAAAACATGAATTCTAAAGGATTTATACCCTATGGGAATAATCCTTTAAAATAAAGTATTGATTTCTACCAATTTCTCTAAAATTTCTAAGGAATGGACTATTGTAGAGGAATTCTAGAGAAAAATAGCATGGGGTCATACCTCATGTTTTCTTCTTCCCGTGTCTTAATTTCCTATGTTTTTTCCATGTAACTATCAAACAATAGTGTTGAAGCTTTTATGCGTGTTCAATCCCGTAGGAATCCAATAAATGTGTCATACTATTTTTACGTTTTTTCTATTCCCGTGTTTTGATAATCATACGTTTCAAAGGGGCCGTAAGAATTTTCAGTTACAACTCAGAATTTTCAGACGTACATACATAATTTATATCTGCATTTCCACGGCCCTTACTATTCATGTTTTTCTTGGAAAACTTCCATCCAAGCAATAAACCCATCAGTTTATTGGATTCCACAAAATTCCCCAAATCCATCACATTGCAAGGTTGCCCTCCTCGTGATCTTGCAAGACCCAGCGCCCGCTCGCGTTCTGCACCATGCCCTTGTTCTTCTCCACCCACCACGCCGCCGGCACCTGGTACTCGTCCCTGAGCGCGTCCACTTCCTTGTTCACCAGCGCCAGGTCACGGTCCACCACAAGGCTGAACCCCGCGCCGTCGCCGGCGCCCTGCGTGCCCGCGACGGCGTGCAGGTAGCACTCGAGGTTGTGCCACTGGGCCGGGCCCGCCGGGTTCTTCAGGTACGGCGACCGGCGCGTGTCCACGAGCAGCTCCGCGCCGACGTCCTTGAAGAAGGCCGACGGCAGGATGGTCGGCACGATGTCCGGCGCGTTGCGGACGCGGAGCAGGCTCAGGTTGGACGTCGAGTCGAAGGCCCTCTTGAACTGATCGTCGCCGACGCGCGGGCTGGCGAGGGCGATTGCCGTGACGGGGACCGGGACGCGGGACGAGCCGCGGACGTTGTAGCCGTTGGCGACGATGTCGATGGCGTTGAGCGTGGAGAGCGCGGCGCCCAGGCTGTGGCCCGTTATGGTGATGCTGCAGTTCTCGTTCTTGTACGCGCGCAGAAGTCTAGTTATTTCAGCTAGCACCTGCATAAATTTTGTTGCAATTTTTTTTCAGAAAATAGCATCGAATTTGTTGTTCCAATCAGAATTTGAAGCAATCGTACTAGCTCTAAATATATTCCGTCTCTTTCGATCGAAGAGTACCTCTTCCTAAAAAAAATGAAATTGCTAGAAGGTTAATTTGGGCTTTTCGTCCCCGCAAAAAAAGAAAAAAAAAAGGGCTTTTCTGCTTGATTTGGACTTGGAAGTGTACATATATAGCTATGTTTTGGGCTGTCGTAAGTAAGGGATGTTGGACTCCACATGATCACATCCCACCTCCGACTGAGCGATTTTGCTACACATATATCGAACTATCGACATTTTTCCTCCAAAAATTATTAAATATAAATATACTGTGATTACATTTTAACTACAGTATAATTTATATGTAAGTTTCACATAATTTTGTATCATTAGATTTGCTCCTCTGAGACCTCCCCTGGATCTTTTTGAAAGTTACATACAAGTTATATTATACTTTCATATAAACTAAATGTAATTATATTATAATTATAATGTATTTACATTTGATAATTTTTGAGAGAAAAATTGTTGATAGATGTACAAGATATTTCCATGAACAAATGAGCCTTTTACCCCCTCAACCAGTTTATTTTCTCTAACTGAAAGATCTTAAATAATAAATGCAAAGGATATTCTGAAATTGCATTTGTATGCATGACTACATGAGCCTCATCGAATTGCTACAAATGCATTTTGAAAAAAAAAGCAATTTATGTACAGAAAATCTGGAAAATATGTACAAGTCCACTGTCTTCGTATGTTCAAACGCAACAGATTCTCTGGAGCAAGACAAGACGTAAAAAATCTGGAAGTTACCATGTCCCTCAACTTCTCTTTTTAAAAGATTCAACGCACAATTATGTCTTGGACACATGTTCTATCTGGATTTTTTATTATTACTTCCTCCGTCCCAAAATAAGTTCAGCCATGGTTTTCCGCGTCCAACTTTGACCGTTCGTCTTATTTGAAATTTTTTTAAAAAAAATTAAAAACATAAGTCACGAGTAAAGTACTATTCATGTTTTATCATCTCATAGCAACAAAAATGCTAATTATAAAAAAATTTTAAATAAGACGGACGATTAAAGTTGAGCGCGGAAACTTATGGCTGCACTTATTTTGGGACGGAGGTAGTAGTACACTTTGATTTGAAAACCTTATGGAGAATCCCATGGCAATGACCATTATAGTTCATTCCATATTGTACAGGTTAAAGTTACCGAAATTTTGCTACTTTGTTTTCTATGGAGGTTATTAGATGCTCCAAACAATATCCGAGGGCGGTCCTACTCTAGAGAAAAACAGCATTCCCTATCAAGAACAACATGTGCAGTTCAGATGAGATGTCAAATTATTGGTTAGTTCCTCCAGACTAATGTGTGAACGAAATTATTCGTCAGTTCCCCAGAATGAGTGTGAAACTGTCTCTTGCACTCTTCAATTTTCTATGCCTTCTTTTAATAGCTCTGTCTGTACTGGAGACACCTTATGTTGGAGGAAACGAAAGTCCAAACCGTGAACTATAATCCTTGTGCAAATATGTGAATGATTGGGCCACAGTGGCGAGCGTAAAGTAGCACGGCCAAAACAGTATCACATTTTTTCTATAAAAAAATAATGAAACAGTATAGTACTATACTGTTTTATTAATTATTTTTTAAGAAAATGATATACTGTATTGGCCAAGTCTAGATTAATTAAGGGCGTAAATGCGAGGGAGTCGCAACTAATTATACCTGCTCTCGCGCGCTAAGTTTGTTGAACGGCGACGAGAAACTCTTGGACGTGTAGACGGACAGGAACCCCCTGTGCACCGACGGCTGCGTCCAGCCCGGGCCCGGACCGACGACGCCGTCCGCCGGCACCAGCGTGATGTCCAGGTCGTTGGCCCACTCCACCGCGCGCTTCGTCCCGCGCCACGCCACCACGATGTCCCGCCTCCCGGCCTTCGCGGCGACGCCGTCGGCGGCCACGGCCACGTACCCCATCCAGTTGGACTCCCCGCTCCACGCCGCGCCCGCCGACGGCGCGGGCCTCGGCATGAACGCGTCGGGGAGGCGGACGCTCGACGTCGCGTAGACGAACCTCGTGACGCGGTACGCGTCCGGGTCGGACGCCCGCACCTTGCGGAGGAACGCGTCGGGCGCGTACCGCGACGCGCCGGCGAACGGCGACGCCGGGTCGCCGATGAGCGCGTCCGACGTCGCCTGCGCCAGCTCGCCGTAGCGGATGATGTCGCGCCGGAGGTCGGCGTCGAGTGGGTCGAGGAGGCCGTCCCACCTGTCCTTGCCGCCGCCGCTCGTCTGCCTCCATCTCTGTGCACTGGCTACGTCGGTGAGAGTGGTGGCTAGCAGTACAGAGACCAGCAGAAAGCAACACATTTGTGCAACTTTGTGTACATGCAACTGAAAGAAAGGAGAAACAAGAGCTGGATCACGGCCTCACGGGATGGATGGGTACAAGTTACTATGGATCCCACACTGCCTGAACGTGCAGGGAAAGACCGGCCTTTGAACCAAGAGATGGAGGAAAGATATAAACTTGTGGGGCGACGGGACAGAATCAAGAAAGGAATATGTACTACTGACACTCAATAATTAAGATCAATGATTATATATCTAAAAATAAGCAATAGTTATTAAGAAGTAGTATATCACTACATTAGAGAGCCTTATCTAGAAAAGACCATGGAAGAAGAGTGTTAATCCAAAACTCCATGCAAGCAAAACAAACGAATGATTAATGCGCTTAATTTTAAGGGAAGAACCTGACGAATCGTTGCAATAAATTTTGAGCGTACAGAGAATTACATGTCTCAAAGTGAGAGCCACGGGCCTTCCTCGGAATATGCGGATGAATTTTGCAGGCAAAGGATGTCATGTTTTTTTTTGCATGTATTGCCACATGTAAGCTTGTTGACGTCACACAGTAAATTCTTCGTCACTACTCACTAGCATGCACCGCAAGTATTGCTATAGTGTTGCTCGTGGTGGACCGGTGGTGATAGTGTACTCCTATTCCTATATGCATAAATATATTTACTAAATTTGAATTCTCACGGTCACAAGTCAAAATTACACTCGTGAGCACGCTTTCATTAGGAATTTCGTAAGGCTTATGGATTTGTCATTGAGTCCTTTTACGTTAGACATGTAAAGTATCTTAAATGACGATGGATGTTGCTGCGCGCGTAAGGTTAGCAAGAGTTTGAAGTTTAGTCTTTTTTTCTTTTAACGTTTGGCTGTGATAGATAGTCCGAATTTCTATCTATTATTTTAAAAAATATCTTAAATGATACAACAAGTCACAATTAAAAAGTAATACTTACATGGCTTTTTTTTTAACGAAAACAGGGTAAAATACTACCTCTAGGTTTTTAATGTATCACGTCATTGTCTTTTGAACATACATATGAAAAATATAACTCATGCTAAAATTATACACGTTTAATAATAAAACAAATAACATCAAAACAAATGGTAATTACATAATTTTCTTGATAAGATATACGGAGTATAGTCAAAGTCAATGGCATCGTCCAATGAAAACTAGAAAGATTATATATATAGCTCACTAAAGCATGGAGTATAATTTAACATACTTGAACATTTAAGATCTACAAAATACAACATTCCTAAAAAAATATTTTTACTGCATTTTTATACCACTTATTATATGGTATATAACAATTTCATTTTTAAATAAAATTTCTCACAAAACTACACATAATCTAACCAAACTATTGTACGTAAAATTATAGGTTTAAGGTGTTGTATAAAAAATACATATTTAACAGTAAATTTATCATAAAATACATATTTAATATCAAGTATCACAAAACTAGATATTTAATATTGAAGTCATCACAAAACATTAGATTCTATAGTTTAAATCCTTATCACTACCATTTTGTTGGAGCTACAAACATTATAGTGTTGTGATAAATTGGCACTAAACCTGTATTTTTTTTTTATAAAATTTGCTCCTTAATATTATTATTTTACACGCCATTTTAAATCTGTAGTAAATATGTAGTTTTGTGATACTACATTTTAAATATATAGTTTTGTAAAATCTACCTTTTTTAAGATTTTAATTTGTAGTGCATATCAAGTAAATAATCTGTTACAAACATGACCTAGTTGACGGCACGTCCGACATGTTTATGGCGTCCACCTTCTTCGTGCCAGGTGATGGCGCGTCGACTCTCTTTTGGACATATAAGTAGATTGAGGGTCGCTCGGTGGCCTCCTTAGTGCGGGACCTTCACTTCACCGTGCCCTTGCGTTCAGTTGCTTCTACCCTTATCAATAATTCTTGGGTAAGGGACATCCGCGGCGCTCTCACAATGTATGTCCTCTCCCAACACCTGATGGTCTGGGATGCGATGCTTCTTGTCTAGTTCTCTCCGGGCACGGAGGACCGTCCTGTCTGGCGTTGGATAAGCAACCAGCGTTACTCGGCTCACTCGGCCTACCAAGCTTGCTTTCTTGGGTAGCAATCCTTTATTTGCGTGCCGATCTGCTTGGGTGGGCTAAAGGCCCTACTAAACACAACCTTTTCATCTGGCTTGCGTTCCAGCAGTGTTGTTGGATAGGCGATCTCCTGGAGAAGCGTGGTATTGACAACCACTCGCCTTGTCCGTTTTGTGTCCAAGAACTCAAAATGGCGAATCACATCCTCCTTGACTGTGTGTTCGCTCATCAGGTCTGGCACCGAATTCTGTCTGCACCTAGCTGGCATGACCTTACTCCGGCTCGTGGTTCCTCTCTTCAAGTTTGGTGGCCGACTTAGGCTGTGTTCAGGTTTCACGGATGGGAACTAATCCCTCCTGCACGGAAAATGGAACGATCCATTGGCGTGTGATTAATTAAGTATTAGCTATTTTTTTAAAAAAAATGGATTAATTTGATTTTTTAAGCAACTTTCGTATAGAATTTTTTCGCAAAAAACACACCGTTTAGCAGTTTGAAAAGCGTGGGCGCGAAAATCGAGGGAGAGGGGTTAGGAAAAGAGGCATCCAAACACACCCTTCTAGGGCTTGCATGCATAAGCATTGTTAGAAGGGCTTCGATTCCTTAGTTCTCCTCGTCTCCCGGTAGCTATGGAAGGAGCAAAACTTCAGGGTGTTCGATTACTCTCTCTCGTAGGTTTTGGTGGTTCTGGAGTCCATTTTACATGAAGGCCACCGATGGTCTGATGGCATTGCGTCTTTTGTGGATCTATTGGAAGTGTAGTGGGGCTCCGTCTCTCTCCTCCCTCGCACCCAGTTTTAGCTCAGTTTTTTCCTTCTCCTTTTTTCAGTTTCCTTTACTCCTTATCCCGATAATGTCCCTTTAGCTGATTGCGGTGTATAATTAAACTCTACTTCTTTTAATATATTGACGTGCAATCAATTTGTGCATTAGGAAAAAAAGAAACAGGACCTAGCTAGCTTCACGTGAGGAGCATATTTTTGCAGTATCATGTCACACATGCATGCCACTAGATGTTAGGGTGGGCCAGCTGAACAGGGGACAGCTTCCAGTACACTAGACATGTGACCGTGTGACGGTGTGAGGCGACTACACACTACACACACTACACAGAGCACGTCTAGCGAACTCGTATGTGTGAACTGTATCACTGCGCGCTCATCAAGAGTCAACACTCTTGTCCTACTGCGTAGGTGCACGACGTTACGGGTGCCCTGAACTTCTGATCGATTCCTGACCTGCGATCGCAACCAGCCGGTTTGAATTTATGGAGAACGTGTGAGGTCCATGGAACGTCGCCCATCGGATGGTCGGTGGGTGGGGACTACTGGGTTTGGACCGTGGGGAGCGTCGCGGCTGGGCAGGCCGGCCCGGGAAATCCGAGATCGAGAGGTAGGCTTCACCAAATGGAAAAAGTCCATTAGGACTCCCTCAGTACAGGTCGAATTTGAGTTATATCCCTAACTGTAAAAAAAAAAAAAAACCCATGTATAACGACTCCCACAACTGCTTAAGCTGTTACAAAATGACTCTAGGGTAATATTGATGGTGGTATTGACTGGCATGACAGGTTGACTATGATAAAAGAAATGTTGAATCATGCATAATGTTAATTATGTTCAATGAAATCCACATATCATCTCATTCTCTCCCCTTCTTCCTTTCTCCGCCATACTACCTCTCTCCCCCTTCCCCTTACTACGGAAAGGGAGGAGTACCAACACCACCATCCCCAGCTAAGAGTATCCCTAGCAGCTCATCCAAATTTGATTCTCTATATCCCTATTTGGATGGTCATCCAAAAAAATTTCCACTCTATATTTTTCTTCACTCTAACAAATCATGTATATTACATCCTCTATATCATATCCACCTATGTTTTAGTAATATCTTTCAACTATCCATACATTTGTATTGTTTTCTTTATAATGTATATATTTACAAACATCCTGAAAAGTCCAAATTTATTGTATTACGGATCTATCAAATCTAGGAAACAACTAATACTCTAATCTCATTTTTATGTTCAAACATATTTATCTTCTCTCTTTTCTTTATCTGCACCTATTGAGAGGAGAGAACGAGAGAGTGTCATGAGAGAAAAGGGGAAGGATGAGGGGAAGGTAAGGGGCAAAGGGCCGACGGCAGAGGAGGGACGGGCCAAAGGTGCTACGGGCGGAGCGGATGTGAGCGCGGGAGCAGACACGAGGGGAGAAGTCGCGGGCGACAGCACCGCGCGGGTGATAGGGCAGAGAAGGTGCGGACGTGCGGTCGAGGCAGCACGACAGACGGTGGGGGCGAGGAAGCAACTGTCAGCGGGGCGAGGAAGCAGTCGTTGCCGGCGGCTGGGCAACGGGGCAAGGAAGCGGTGGTCGGAGCCAATGCCGGGGCGACGTGGGTGGAGAAGCGGCGGGGGTGAGGAAGCTGTGGTCGGCACCAACAGCGGGGCGATGAAGTTGTGGGCGGCACTAGTGGTGGGCTCAGGCCTCGCTCTATCATCTACATCTCGTTCTTTGGTATGCTTCTACCTTTCCAGTCTTCACCTTCACTACTCCACCCTGCACGCCACTGATCCGGCTAGAGGCGGGAGCTCGGTCCGGACGCAAGTGGTTGTAATATGGCATGAGGAGAGAAAAACTCTAAATTTAACGTTTCTCTCTCCCGGATGACGGACGCGCTAAATTTGGAGGCAATGATGGCGTATTTGCTGGAGCGCGATTTTCTCTCCGCGTGCGCTTTTCTCGATGAATGATGGGACAGTGCATCTGCTAGGATGCTCTACTCTCCATGTCTCTCCCTCCCTTCTCTCCATTCTCCCAACTCGGCTCCGCAGGATGTCGCGGCTTACGCGCCAGCCGATTCCGTGTCCTCGTGTCTCCCGGTTAGTTTTTCCTCCATTTTTTCTGATTCCGTGCTCTGGATGGCGGGAGGACATAGTGCGGTGACGCCGGAGTACTGTAGAACACGGACTGGTTTTGCCGGTGGTTTTGCCGGTCACGCATGGATCGGATCATCGGATTCCACCCGAGGTACTCGTCTTGCCAGGCAGAATTGTTTGTTCATTCATCCATCCGTTGCAGAAATGATCTTCTGTGCAAGCCACGAGTAACTGAAACCATCAAGGCTTCCATTATGAGTTCATTAAAAAAAAACTCTATTACGAGTTTCAGAATCAGACGACTACAAAAGGGAATTGATCTGAAACTGAAAGACAAATATTGGTAATTCAGTACTTGATTAATCTGGGTTAACATTCAAACCTGTCTCGCCAAATATTTGTACCTGCCTACTCTAGTACGTTTGGGATTTTATGGATTAACTCGATTCTTTTTTGTGGTTCAGGCGTGGTGACGAAAATGCGAACAAAGGGGAGGACACTCAAAGGCTCAAAGCTCCCCACCTGGACCCGCTGGCTGAGGCTGTGCCCGATCCGAGATGCGGCAGGGGCGTCCCGGGGGCCAGTGCGGGCCGTGCGACCGAACAGGGCCCCCAAATTTTAAGGGCCCCTAAAATATTAAGTATGCCCTATATATAATAATATTAGAGGCTTTATTTTTGTTAATTTGCAGTTCAAATAGTAGCAAACACATGGCCCAAAACGCTGCAGAAGGTGAATCGATCCATCTTCCATCGTACTCCCGTCCAGGTGTCCGCGTCGTCGCGTATCGCCGAAGTTCCGATGCCGCAGCCGCTTCGTCTCCTCTCCCCAGTTCCCTCCGGCCTCCGCTTCTACTTCATCGCTGATGATCGGCTAATCGCCACGCCCGTTTTTAATTTTACTATAAAAATTTACTAGGCTACTAGGGCCCATTTTAATATTTCGCACGGGGACCCGATTTGGCCGGGACGCCCTTGGATGCGGCGACATGGCTCCACCGGAGGCGAGCAAGCTAGCACACCGAAAGAGAGGACATGGCCTAGAAGAGAAGGGGTGGGGCTGCCGCGAGAGCGGACATCGTCGTCGCAGCCGGCGCCACCACCGCCCCTACCCATGCGGCCATGCCGGAGGAGGAGGAGAAGGCGGCGGTGTAGCAGGTGGGCTCGTGAAGTCGTGAGCAAGTTTATCAGTATCTTGATCTGTATCGTAGTATGATACTACCAAATTGAAACGATACTGATCCCACCTAGTATCCTAATTTTAATAGTATCTTGATCTTACTATTCATACCACACGATTCTACAAAATCTTAGGTAGTAACCCGATTCTACCAACCTTATGATCCTACAGAATATTATTTAAAATATGATGGTTTGAAAATAAAGTAAATATATATGCACAAGTTTATATAAAAATCAGTTAAATATATCAAAACTAATATGGTTTGGTTTCTCTTGATAAATGTTGTCTCTATTTGCATGACATATTATTAGCATATTTTTTTTGATATAGAATGACTATATGCAATTAATACAAATATTAATTAAACTTTTAAAAAAGAAAATCCCATAGTATCCCGATACTACGATATGATCCTACGATAAGATACTATTTTCAGCAAAACGATACTATCTTAGATCCCGGTACTAATAACCTTGATCGTGAGCGTGTGCCGCACTGCTGACGTGGTTGGGAAAAAAGAGGGAACTAAAACATAGGAGAGAAGAAGAAAGGACGATGCTTGATATGTGGAATTATGTTTATGTTTTATTTTATTTAGTGATTGAGATGCCACGTAGTTATCATGTTAGCGAATACTTCCCTAGATATTGCCTTGGGAGTCTTTTTCATTGGTTTACCGGTTGGAGGAGTCATTATACTTGATTTTACGGATAGGGATATGAATTAAATCCGGTTTTACTAGTGGGCGGCACACTCATCGGTAGCAACGGAGCTGGATGTTGGGCGCTGCCGCTGCTCTACATCGCATAGCGGGTTCACCACTGCCAGCTCAAGCAGGGGGACAACGGTGTTGGCTCAAAATCTGCCCAACACACGAAGATCAGGAATTTTTCTTAGCTCTAGTGTAAGTTCTAAATTTAGAGTTTAAACGTGTTAGTTAGTTTAATTCTGCAACTAAAACAAGGTAGATAAGTGAACTTTTTTCCTTTTCAAACAAGATGTTCTAATTAGGTGACGGGTTGCAAAGGGAACGTGGGCCATGCCATGTATCGACCAGGCTTTTCCAAACAAAATGTTCTGACGGGGGTGGATTTTAAACTCTCAAAGGACATCATCTCGTTATTTGCATGTCACCTGAATTGTTATGAAAAAAATGTAAAACATTCAACTAGATAGATTAATACATAGATCACTTCACAAACATATTAGTTAAAATTCAACTTCTACAAGTTGCAACAAAATAAACAAATTAAACTATGACTGGTTAACGTATATTCACAATGAAATTTGTTTTTTTCGTTGCAACTTGTAGAAGTTGAATTTGACCTTACATGTTTGTGGAGTGATTTATCACATATTGCACAATGAAATTTGTTTTTTTCGTTGCAACTAGTAGAATTTGAATTTGACCTTACATATTTGTGGAGTAATTTATCACATATTTATATATCTTCTTGATTATTTTTTTAATTTTTTTCATAACCATTTAGGCAATATGCAGATAACGAGGGGATGTTTACTCTAGAGTTCAGAATAGTTTCCCATGTTCTAACTATGTGTTGAGAACCTGAGATGGAGTTGGAGGAGCCTGCGGCCGCTGCTATGACACAACTCCTCTATTGAACACTTGAACCGATGGAGAGGGGAAACATTTTCTTAAGCATCGGGATGAATGTTGACTCGTTTATTATATATCGCCCAGATGGTTATAAGATTCTTTTAGAAAATAAAGATAAATTAATATGTAATACATGACTTTAAATTTGACTTTTATATAAGTCGTAACAAAAATAACAAATTTAACGCTACTATTATACGTATATTTACAGTTAAATTTGTTATTTTTGTTATAACTTGTAGAAGTCGAATTTAAATTTGCATATATCAAATTTAAATCTATTACACATTGATTTATATTGTCATTTTTTTTAAAAAAATATAACAATTTAGTTAACATGTAAACGAGTGAACGTTAACCAGGGAGATTAGAATCCCTCTCGAATGAAGAGAAATGTTCAAGTTTTGGAACAAAGAATAAAAATGTACTGATGTTGCAAGCAATAGTGTGCTCTACAATACAAACTGACATATGGGCAGAATTATCATGCAAAGGGAATGAGTTCTTATTATGTTACATGACAACATCTTGGTGGTACTCAACTGAGAACGAAACTTTCGTCATTCTGCATCCAGCGCCACAAATTAACACTCGAACATATATAGGCCCAGATGGCACAGTGGCACGTACACAGAGTACATAACACCGGCCCGTAGATGATTAGAGGCTCGAAACCACCCCAAACGGTCGGAGCAGACGCCTCGAGACGCCCATGATCAACTGCAGCATCGCCGCGGCCTCCTCCATCAGCCGCACGTCGGCCCCGGCCCTCATGAACGGCCCGAAGAAGAGCTCCGATATGGTGACGACCATGAAGGCGCTGACGAGGAGGTACGCCGCCACCTTGGGCGGCCGCCACAGCCCGGCCGCCCTGGCCCAGCGCTCGGCGATCTGGGACACGCCGTGGAGCATGAAGAAGAGCACCATCTCCCCCCTGGGCCGCCGCAGCGTCAGGTACAGGTAGAGGAGCTCGTGGAGCAGGCCCGACATGAGGAACGCCGCCAGCACGCCGGCGTCGCGGCCCCACCGCGCGCGCACGGGCTCGTACGCCGACGCCCGGAGGAGGTCCACCGCCATCAGGTTCCACTGCCGCCCCCAGAAGTCGTTCAGCGACGCGACGGCGAGCGGCGTGCTGAACTGCCTCTCCAGGCCGGCGTCCAGGACGGTCGCCGAGGCGAGCGCGACGGAGGAGAGGACGAGGTCGAGCGTGAGGAAGACCTGGACGCAGTATAGGAAGTGGACGGCGTACACGGGTAGCCAGCCCGTGTGCGGGTACGCCACGAAGAGGCAGCTGAGGAAGAAAAAGCTCCGGGCGCAGGGACGGAGGAAGTCAGCGAGGGGCGGTGGCGGCGGCGACGAAGGAGAACGCTTGGCGGCGGGCGGCTGCTGGCTGAGGCGGAGCTTGATGGGGAGGCTGGCGCAGAGGACGAACGGGACGAGGGGGAGGGACGGGTGTAGCGGGCCGATGCCGAGCGCGAGGAGGACGAGCTTGTTGATGGCGAGCCAGGTGTGGAAGAAGGTGCTGAAGAGGCGGAAGTGGAGGGAGTTGAACAGGCACGGCAGGTAGACGAAGACGGGGAACGTCGGGGCGAGCGCGGCGAGGCGGGGCAGTCCTGGCCGTAGGCGGCGGCAGGCCGAGCGCGCGTACCACGCGCACGCCGGGACGAGCAGCACCGTCCATGCCATCGCCCTCAGCTCCGACGCCATCGTCGGCTTGTCGAGCGTTTGCATTATGGCTCCGGGCGACGATCCGACGACGAGTCGACGACGAACTTACCGGGAGGAACTAAATGTGCATGTGTATCGAGCGACCAAGTCCTTATAAAATGTGTTGACGATCTCTAGTTGTCCTCCCCGATGCATTGAGAAAGAGAGAAATACGTGCGAACAAAGAAAATAGAAATACAAAAGGTCTGGAATGAATCGTGATGGTATGTACATACATGGATTAAGGAGCGGAAAATCGCTCACGAAAACACTGTGATCACAAGGAGAAACGGAACTCCTCAACGAGCCGTAGCCTGTAGCAACGACGTCTCACGCTAAATCATGTCTGTTTGGGAAGAATAACTTAAAAGGAGCCATACACTTCTTCAGGGATCAGTAAAAAAGTGTTTCTCCAAACGCATGCAATTTGCAATTCGTCCATTGAATCATGGATCATAGCATGCAAACTTTGTACTAGCTCTTTCTCTACACGAATCCTGTAATTGAACTTCACCTACACAATGTACTACAATGTTTCCATGAGCAAGTAATAAAACCATAGCACAAAGAATGGATGGATCGATCTTCTTTCTACCGGTGGAGGAGGAGCGGTTTGGTCAGGTGGGCGGGCAGGTCTTGGCGAGAGGGACAGGGGAGGCGTGCGGGCCGTGGAGCACCCCGTCGGCGATTAGCTTGTACACCGCCTCCGTTGGGTGCGTCCCGTCCCACGAGACGTACGTCGATGGGTCCTCGCACACGGTGCACCCTGCCTTGCCGCACGGCACGCTCTGGTTCCCGCAGCAAGACCCCAGCGCGTTTGTGAATCCTGCATATAACACAGCGTGTCGATGTGTGTGTATTGGTTAAGGAAGATCAGAAAGAATAACACCGAGGAATAGATGAGCTGGGCTTCAAATGGGTATACTGTTAGGCCTGGAAACAGGCCCAGCCTAGTTATGAAACTCATTTTTCAGGCCTGTGACTGACCATGAGCTATGGCCTAGTATTAAAATGGAATAAGTCCACTTTGACTCCCTTAAATATGACCCGAATATAATCTGACCCTCAACCACAAAACCGTATAAGATGACTCCTCGAACTATTAAAACCAGTGTAATTTAACTCTCTCAGCGGTTTTGGAGGGTGGTTTTGCTGACATGGCGATATTGATCTGTTCTTCGTCCCACGTGGCGCATACGTGGCATTAGAATTAAAAAAAACATGTGGGCCCAATTTGCCATTCACACATATTGTGGGACCCACTAACATGTCATCCTCTTTCTTTCTCTTTCTCTCCCCTTTGCTGGTTTGCAGGGGGCAGGAGCTGGACCGGAGGCGGCGGGCAAGCGACAATAGGGCGGCAGCGCAGTCGAGCGGCGGCTTCCATCGCAGCAGCGTCGAGTGGCTTCCACGGGAGCGGCCTCCATCGTGAGGTAGTCGAGCGGCCCATACGCCCCCCCCTCCATTCTTCCTCCCAACAGCCTCTCGCTGCTACCGCCGCCGTCGCCACAGTGGTAGAAAGGAGAGGGGGAAAGAATGAGAGAAGGAAGGAGGAGGAAGAAGAGGCGTGAGGACAGGAGAGGCCATGACGCCGCTGTCGCCGGGGTCCATGACGCCGCCGCCCTCGACCTTGGCGGTGCACGCCGCCGACGCCCCTCCAAGCGACCAGCTCCAGACAGATCGACATGCCGGCGCCCCTCCTCCAGCGCCAACGGGGTCGCCGCACGCCGCCGGAGCCACCGCTCAACCTGCTCGATGCCTCCACCGTCGACGTCCCACGCTCGCCGTCGCCGCCACGGGGGTCCATGACGCCCCACCGCCGACCGGCTCCAGACAGATCGACGCGCCGGCGCCCCTCCCCACGCCGACCGCGTCGCGAGACACCTCTGACACCCCCTCGCTCTCCAACGCCAACGGGGTCGCCGCACGCCGCCGGAGCCACCGCTCAACCCGCTCGATGCCTCCACCATCGACATCGATGTCCCACGCCCCCGCCGCCGCCGCCACGGGGATCCATGAAGCCCTCGCCCTCCCCGGCGTGACGGTGCCCCTATCCGCCCACTGCGTCGAGAGAAAGTGAAGAGAAATGGGGAGAGAGAGAAGGCAGAGAAATCTCAGGGAGAAGGAAGAAGAGAAAGATAGATGATGACATGTGGGCCCCCACAATATTTTTTTATGAATGATAGATGGGTCCTATAAATATTTTTTTTAATTCTAATGCCACATAAGCGCCACGTGGACAAAGACCAGGTCAACAGCACCATGTCAGCGCCACATCAGCAAAACCGCCCTCTAAAATTGCTTAGGGAGTCAAATTGCACTGGTTTGAATAGTTCAGAAGTCATCTTACCTGGTTTTACGGTTGAGGGTCACGAATTAGATTCGGGTCATTTTTAAGGGAGTCAAAATGGACTTATTCCTATTAAAATCTTCCCAGCCCAATAGGGACCGAAATAAGTGTTTCAGCCCAAGTGCCTACAGCTTACCTTGGAATTTGGATGCATAATTGCGTATGAGCCAGACGCGTCCGAACCGGACACCGCTGAATTCCATGTTCGCTTGACCTCTACGGCTCTACCCCTCTGTTCGTACGTGAACCTTAGCGCAAGTATGAATTAGGAGGGCCCCTGCATGGCAGCGGTGGATGCTGCTTATCGGGCCATACATAACTGCTAAGCTTTGTGCAGTACTCGCCTCGCTCGTTTGTCACGTGTATGCATATATCACCACACAAACCAACAGAGAGGAGGAACGCCGACGGGTGCAACGTCGCCGTTGCAGCACACAAGACAAGACACGACACAATGCCAAAATAAGGAGAGAGAGAGAGAGAGAGAGCTGACGCGTACGTACGCACTCACCTAGTTTTCCTGGGGCCTGGAAGATGCTCGTCATGGCGCCGTACCAGTCGGCGTACACGATGGTGACGTCCGGGTGCAGCCGGCGGAGGTCGTCGAGCCGCGCGGTGAGAACCCGGTTGTGGAACTCGGCGAACTTGTTGAACCAGGCCAGGCACCCCGTCCGGGCGTCGTACTCGCTGGCGGCGGCGCCCCTGAACCGGTTGAGGTACAGCGGCGCGCACCCGAACGGCAGGTTCCCGGGCACCACGAACGCCCTCGCCCCCATCCCGATCAGCTCCTCCACGGCCGCCGCCAGCTTGTCCACCACCGCCGGCACGAACGCGCGCACCGTCTCGCGCGGCACCCCCTTGTTGAACGCGAAGTTGTAGTCGTTCCCGCCGATCTCGCCCAGCGACACCAGCGCGTCGCTCAGGATGCTGCCGCCGCCGCCACCGCCGCCTACGAATCAACCAGTAACATGTAATGCATCAGCTGGCGTGTCAACGACGCGCGTAGCTGATGGAGAAGGCCGGCCATGCATGGCGTACTCACCGTTCAGCTGCTGCGTGAGCTGCTGCAGGTGGGTGCGGAACCAGAACATCTGGGTGTCGAGGGAGAAGGGGGTGATGTCCAGGCCCTTGCGGGCGAAGAAGGAGGCGTTGTTCGCTGTGGAGGAGATGATGGCGAAGTTGGCGCCGTGCGGGAAGTCGGCCGGCCCGGCACCCACCTGAATGGCCGTCACGTTGGCCAGCCCGAACTCTTGCGCTGCAACGAACAGCAAGGACTTACATTAGCACTGCTACCACAGTAGTTTTTTTTTTTTAACTGACGGCCAGTAGTACGTACTCCATCCGTCCCAAAATATAAACATTTTTGAACCGTACTATGGTCTCTGAGATGCTATTTTGATCAATAATATATATAAAAGTAAGATATTTTAAATAAAAAGTGTTACATATTATAATAGTTTGTTTAATACTAAATCTAGTAACATCAATTTTATATGATTGATCTTTTTTTTTGTTATTAATAGTTAAAATTTAAAATGTTTGACTTGTCACTATATTAAAAATGATTATATTTTAAGACGGAGGGAGTAGTACATACTCCCGTATCTAGAGAAGTTTGGACAGAACGCATAATAAACAAATTACCGAAGCAAAGTTAACAAGGCTCAAGAAACAGCTCAAAATATTTCACTACATGATCGAAATTAATAAGCGATTCCGGTTTAATTTGTGGTGCCCTTTAGGGAAGAAAGAATGTCTTGGCAAGCGACGGGGCATCTGCAAGTTGCAACTTGAAAAGCAGCACCGTGCGATGAGTCAAAGCTGACATCTTCGTGCAGTGGCTGATCTTGACATGAATTCGGCGAGATCAGCACCTGGTACTTGGCTAACTACTGTCACTTTTTGGTGAAGGGGCTACTTCTAAATTAATTGTACACAAATTAATCAGCATCTACTCTGCTAAACATGCACGCACAGTTTTGGAGTTTTGGTGGACCATGGTCGCCGCTAGACCTAATTAAAGTGCAAAACACTGTAGTACATACTTGTCACTAATACTACAGCTGCTTGGGGCCAGGACAAATTAAGTTAGCGTACACCGGCATGAATTCCAGTGCAATCATCAGTGACTAAGAGCTTGAGCTTGTAAACGAAAAGCAAAGTATAAAATGTTAGTAAATGACGATTATTGCAGCAAAAATATTTCCTCACTAGTCACCAAACTTGTCCATTTTTTTATATATAAGCATGGTATTTAACATAAGAGATTTGTTTCGGTCCAACAAAAAATACCTCAAGGTACCGGTACCTCACGGTACCAAATCATTTCCGATCGTTGGATCTAACAATGCATATCTAGCCCAGCTAGATTCAACGATCGGAAACGATTTGGTACCGTGAGGTACCGGTACCTCGAGATACTTTTTGTTGGACCGGAGCAAATCTCTTAACATAAACTTTCAAGTTTGACCATAGCAGATAAAAATTACTGCCTCCACTCAAAAAGATTTTATTTTAGCAAGTAATAAAGTCTTTTGAGACGGAGGTAGTATAATAGTATTATGAAAGGACCTTTTGAGTCAAATTTACATATATAATTTTCATACATATAACCTACCTATATAAAAAATGATACTCTTATGTTTTTTTTTTGACAGGAGGGAGAATGAGCTATTGTCGGCGTTCTAATGCTCACACCACTCGCCTCGCATGTTACCCGTCTTTCAGGACAATAATAAGTTTGGATGTTATTGACGGACAACTGAACAAGAGGCCACCGAGTACGTGTTTGAGGCCCCTCCAAAAAAAAATCCTCCAAACAGAGCATGCATGCAGGTTGCACAATGCACAGACGCACAGTACGTAGTAGTTGGCAGGAAAACAGAGGGATGTACGCTGCACAATGCAAAAGCAACGCAGAGATGGTGGGAACACGGACAGATCGACACGTCGGAGCAGGGGAATGCATGCTGAAACCAGACGGAGGGCAGCTCGGTTCGCTCACCGATGAAGTCAATGACGAGGCGGCCGTCGCTGGCCCGGCCGGTGGGGCGGCCGAAGAAGGTCCTCCCGTACGGCGGCGCGCCGTAGGGGCTGCTGGGCTTCCTGCCGGCCGTCAGTCGGACGTAGTTGCCGGTGTCCGTCAGCGAGTCGCCGAAGCTGAAGATGCGCGAGTAGCAGCCGAGCACCGGCCGGCTCCCGAGGCCGCCGGCCACCACGAGAGCAGCGCAGTACAGCGCCGCAACCGCCGGGGAGAAACCGAAACCGCCTCGCATGAGCGACATGGGAGAAGTACACACACCACCAAGGAGGCAGCAGCTAGCACACTGTTGACTGTTCGATCCAGTGGCTTTGGCTAGCTAGCAGCCGGTGTGCTGCTCTGAAGTGGAGGAGCAGAGAACCAGAGACAGTAGGGAGGGAAATGAAAAGAACATGGGAGTGCAGGGCAGCAACAGCAGCAACCGGTATTTCTTGTTGAAGAGAGCTCCACACGCCATTATTGAGGTTTTGTAGCGTGACAGGGGGATGGAATTGCAAGGTGCCAAGGACACAATCAACACGGAAGTAGACAGCACCTAGCCGTGGCATGCCAACATAAATACAGGGCAAACGCTGAACTAACTGAATAAACACACCTTCCGCTTTATTCTCAACTTCCTGTACGCCGCGCATGCAGTACCAGACACATCCTTGGCTCCTTTTAACCGACTCCTTTCAACACGAACAAGCCATGAGCTTAACCTGAAGTCACAGTAGTTCAATGCCGTTGCGCTTGCATGAATAGACCCCTGTGTTGTTCGTATGTGCGACTGAGAAGGACAGCGTTGAGCAGCAGCCCAGCCAGATAGTATGATACAGATTTCTTGTCCTTTTGGGGTTCATTGCATTTGGATTCTCTCTTTTTTCCTAGCCCTTTCTATTTTGTTTCTGGTTATCAGGCCATGCAAATGGTAACGAAAAGAGTGGCCCTGGTAGCCAAGCATTTATCGGGTTCTATTGTGCTAACGAAATTGGCAGGTGTTCCAAATTGTCATTTTGTTCATCTCCCTGGGTGGAACGGCATGTGCGGGTGTCGTTTTCAGTGAAACGTATATTTAGATTCTGTGCTTGAGAGCACAGATCTCCTGGAGCTTAGCCATAGTTCGCTTTCTTTTCTGTTTGCACGGTTGAATCCGATCAACAGCTGAATTAGTAAGGTTTCCATAGGTGGATAGGCCTAATACTACGTACTGTACGAGTTGCACAGGTACCTAGAGTTGAGCAAGTGCTACATTTCGTATTAAGAAGTTGTTGTCAACAAATTATAAACTTACGAATATTTGTTGACAAATATATGTTCACTAACTAACTAATTAGTGAAAAACTCCATAGAGTAACACTCAATTCGCTAAGCTCAAAATTTAGTTGAAAAAAAATGAACTTTGGGCATGAACATATGTACAATCGATTGGAGATGAATTTTTATTCCTTTAGGGACATCCCCTCGTTTTTTGCATGTTACCTATATAGACATAAAAAAATATCAACATCGATTGACATGAAATATATCATTTCACAAACATGCAAGACCAAATTCAATTAAAAATAGTTAATGTACATTCACAGTTATATTTGTTACAATTTGTATAAGTTGAATTTTAACGTGTATATTTGTGGAGTGATATGTTTCATATTAATCAATATTGTTATTTGTTTTATATTTTTAAGACTATTCAGATGGCATGTACTCCCTCCGTGTTTCAGGTTACAAGATGTTTTGACTTTGGTCAAAGTCAAACTGCTTCAAGTTTGACTAAGTTTATAGAAAAAATAGTAATATTCTTGACCAAAGATAAATTTATTATAATAATAAAACTAATTTGGTAATGTAAATATTTCTATATTTGTCTATAAACTTAGTCAAATTTAACGCAGTTTGACTTTAACCAAAGTCAAAACATCTTATAACCTGAAATAAAGGAAGTAAGAAACAAGGAGATATCCCCTCGAGAGATAACAATTACCCAATCGATTTAAAATTCCCTATCACACAAAAAAGGAAAAGCTAATGCTCCTCGGAATCTCACATGTCTTTAAAAGAAACCACACATTCATGAATAGGGTCAACATGATCAACAAGGCTAGTGTTACTCAAAGGGCCTCTTCATTGGAGGGTGGAATCCTCCAAAGTTGACTATTTTTCAGTAGATTAGCAAAATACCCGTGTGTTATAGTAGGCTCTAATTATATTAGATGAATTGATTAGAACTAAATCTATAGTATATATAAACCAAATAGATGTTGGTCAACAACGATGGACCCACATTACAGGTGGTGGCCCCCACTTGTTAGATAGGTGAGGGTGGCAAAATCACCACCACCACTAATATCATTTAAGATAGTACATATAAGGCTACATGTAATATAATATAAGGGATTTATTGGTAGTTCTTTCTTCTTCTAGATCCGCGTAAAACGTACAATTAATTAGGGGTAGAAGAAGAGTTAAGGATCTTTTTCTTCATATATATATATAGCTCACACTATTTATAGAGTTTGGTGCTTAATTATTGTATTAAATGCTTACTCCAATTACAGCAAGTGATGTTTTAGAATTTGTAACATAATTTAATTTCAACTATGATTATCGTTTGGAATATAGGTTTTAGGCATATGAAAATGACATGGCCAACTTTGTTATAACAAAAACTTTCGTAGTATCGCATTCATGCAAAAGAATTATTCTGTCCAGACATAAACATTTATGATAATATTTGATTATTTGGTCAAATTTGTGAAAATTGACCATCCATAATTTCTAAAATGTCTTTTTTTTCTTAAAAAAATGTTATGTATAGATTTGCCTTGAAAAATAATGTCATAATAGCCTGAACTTAGATTTTATAAACTTATTCTTGTAAAAATTGATGGCCAAAGTTTCCAAGGTTTGATTAAATCCTATTTTTAACGCCAAATATTTATGGGCAAAGTGGTCAGAGTTATGTCTTATTGACTTTGAGAAGTCCAAAGTAATACAAAACTAATTTTTGAACGGAGGGAACAATATATATTTCTCTTTCCAATCGTTGATAGAGATAAATGGGGAAATTTAACTATTTGCCACTCATATGACATGACAATTAACGATTTGTCACACCCTGTCAATGACATGTGGGCCCTCATGTGTCCATGGCATGTGGGCCTAGTGGCAAATCGTTAAGCACCACTCGTAAGAGTGGCAAATAGTTAAAAGCCCCAGATAAATGTGACCCACAAGACGACGATAACCATAGCAAGCTTTTGTGCCTGCACTAGGCTGTATTTGTTCCGGCACGCAAAACAAATCAGCGCTTAACACATGATTAATTAAGTTTTAACTATTTTTCTTAAAAAAAATGGACCAGCATGATTTTTTAAGCAACTTTCATATAGAAACTTTTTTATAAAAACACACCGTTTAGCAGTTTAAAAAGCGTGCGCGTGAAAAATGAGGGAGAGGGGTTGGGAACCCATGCAACCGAATGCAGCCTAAACTCTGCACGCTCTGAGTCTTTAGCCTTTGCGAATATTGCACATTAGCACATGGCATAAACACGTTGTAAGATTGTAAGGTCCTAGGAGTACGATGCGTTAGTGTCTTATGAATTGGAGCCACAAAGAATCGTGAGATTAAATTTGTAGCTAATATATTGTACTTATGGAAGTTTAATCTATGACACAACTAACAAAAACCACCAAAACCACTATTATCAGAAGAAATCAAGATAGAGAAGACAAAAGTTGTCACGCCCCATGGCGATGGTACATATCGAAACCTACGATCAATCGTCGTCGTCGTCGTCGTCGTCGTCATCAGGCTCGTGGTCTTGCAACACCCACCTCCCGTCGGGACCCTTCACCATGCTCTTGTTGTGGTGCACCTTCCATCGCACGGGCACGGGGTACTCGTCCGCCAGGCAGTCGTCGAACTTGTTCACCAGCGCCACGTCCCGGTCGACCACCAGCTCGAACCCGCGGTGGTCGCCGTGCCACCCGGCGACGCCGTGCAGGTGGCACTCGAGGTCGTGCGACTGCGACTCGCTGCCGTGGCGCCTGAGGAACGGCGACAGCCGCGTGTCGATCAGCAGCTCCACGCCGACGTCGGCGTAGCCCACCGGCGGGTAGTGCGGGATGCGGTCCGGCCGGTTGCGGACGCGGAGCATCCGGAGGTCCCGGAGCCGGTGGAAGGCGTCGCGGAAGCCGCGGTCGCCCGTGCGCGGGCTGCCGAACACCACGGCGGTGACCGGGGCGCGGGTCTCGCCGGACGGGCTGAGGCTGGACGTGTTGTACGAGTTGGCGGCGATGTCGGCGGCGTTCAGGGTGGCCAGGGTGGCGCCCAGGCTGTGGCCGATGACGGTGATGCTGGTCTCCTCGTCCTTGTATTTGTCCATCAGCCTCGCTATCTCTGTCAATACCTGCAGGGTTCAAAATTTGACTGAATTTGAAGGCCAACAGGAAAAAAAAAGGAATATAGTTTGACTGAATTTGAACAAATTTTGCTAAATTCAAACCTTGAAAAATATATATATTTTTTTGGCATAGAGTATATCCTGCTGGGGAAGCAAACCCGAATTTTGTAAGTGCCTACTCGCACGGTAACTTACTTTTTTCAAAGTTTGTCGCATAGGATCAAATCCCAACTTTTTATTCTAAGTTGGATTTAGCAATGAAAAAATCGTTTAAAATGACAAAATGATGGTCCATGTGATGTCAAAAGAAACTCGCCCAGCTGTTCAAGAAACCATCAATGTAAATGAACGTTCTTTTCTTCCAACAACTCTGACTGCAGTGCAGCCTCTCTCGACACCTGTCGCTGGCCTTCCACTTCCACGTTGCAGCAAGCCAGCACCACCTTTCAACTTCAGTCTGTCCCTTCACTAATCTCCTTTTCAATACATGTGCCCTCCTTAACTGACACTGTATTTGCCTTGTGACAAGGGTTATGAAGATGTGTTGCAATCTTTCTCTTCTCTTAATTTCGAAAAATGATGTTTAACGGCAATCCACTCTATGACCTAAACATGAATGAAAACCTTCTGGACTCTGGAGTTCAAAAAAAAAAAAAAAAAAAAAAACTCTGCTTGCTTCAAACGAGGGCCTGACTCAAATTAACCTTTTCTGAAACAAAGAAACCTAAATATGTAACCTAAAGTTGTAAACTGTGATGGGTGGATGTGTCACGGTCTGTCCAGATTCTACTAGGATGTATCACATCCACCCAAAATCTCTTATATTATAGGACGGAGGGAGTAGGATGGAATGAACATGAAAAGCAGCGAAAGGACCGTTTTCTTTTCTCACTTTCCTATTAGTGTCTACTCCTTAAGTAAAAAGAAACCTAACTTAGATGAGATATTATCTAATACAACCCAAATTCGTTGTATCAGGTGATATTCTATCATTAATAAATTTAGGTTTTTTTTTTGAACGGATGGAGTATACATGTAACGTTATTTTGGTGTGAGTGCCTTAAAAGTACATCTAAGAGTGATGATGGGCTCTGCACCCTTCCACGTCCGTGGAAAATATGGCAGCACTCCGAGTGTCAACCAGTACTAAATGAATTTAGTTTGGATGATATTTCTACCAGCATATACTAATTGTCTTCACGTAAGGTGGCTGTGTACTAATCAGATATGCCAACATAATTTACTAGGGAAAACTGTCAACTGTCGAAGATTATAGTTCTACTAAGTCAACTACATGCAAAATACTACTCCCTCCGTTTCACAATGTAAGTCATTTTAGTATTTCCCACATTCATATTGATGTCAATGAATCGAGACATATATATTTATCTAGAATCATTAACATTATTATGAATATGCAAAATGATAAAATGACTTACATCGTGAAACGGAGGAAGTAGTACTGGTACCGTACAACCACAAGAGTGTCAAGGAGGGAGCAGGGCGGGGCGCGCACACCTGCATCCTGGCGCTCTGCTTGTTCAGCTCCGAGCATTGGTCCTCCGAGGTGTACAGCGACAGGTAGCCGCGGTGCACCGACGGGTCGGTCCCGTCGGCGCCCTCCGGGCCGAGGATCCCGGCCGCCGATGCGGGCGCGAGCTTGAGGTCGGCCACCCACTCCAGCGCGCGCTGCGTGCCGCGCCACGCCACCACGATGTCGCGCCGCCCGAGCGCGGCGGCGCCCTCGTCCGTGGCCACGGCGACGTACCCCATCCAGTTGCACTCCGTGGCGCGTCCCTCCCGGCACAGCGGCCGGAGCAGCACCTTGCCGTGCACGTCGGCGTTGGCTGTGGCGTAGATGTACCGGGTGGCCGCGTACCAGCCCGGATGGGACACGTCGACGCGCCGGAACAGGTCGGCGTGGCGGTACCTGCACATGCCGGCGTTCGGGGAACGGTGCTCGCCGATGAACGCCTCGTACGTGGCCATGATCATCTCGCCGTAGGTGATGAGGCAGCGGCGGAGGTCGACGTCCAGCGGGTCGAGCAGGCCGTCCCAGTGGCCGCTGCCGTGCAGCTCCCTCCACCGGCTCGCCATGTCGCAGGAGAACATCGTCGCCAGGGTACCTTTCTGATCGATCTGAGAGCTCTGCTCTTGGTGCTATCCTGTCAAACTGTTAGAATTTTGTTCCGACAAAGTTAAGTTGACATGGTGCATTCTCAAATATAGTAATCATTTTTATGCATTTTTCAATACGCACATTTAGAAAAAAAACATAGAAATGATTATATTTTGGAATGGAGGTAGTTCCCCAAGATGCTAGATATTTGTATCAGTTGCTCTGAAACATCTATGAAATTTTTCGTGGGACCTAGAGAAAAAATGTTTGTGTACAACTGTTTTTTTAGGCTTATGCGTATATTGGCCTGAAAAAAGTTGGCAGAATATAAATGTGATTATGCTGGCAGCTGGAATCGATTTAACATGTATTCATGGTCCATTATTCTTCAGATAAGGCTAAAACTAGGAGCATTATGCAAGATAATGCTTACATTTTTCAGAGGGGGATGATATTATTTCTGGTAGGTTACCTATGGCAATTATTCTTTTGTTTCATGCGATTCATTTTCCTTGCCTTTTTTAATTTACAAATAAATATGATTAAAAGCACTGGTTTTGGATATATCATGCAGATGAAGCATACTAGTCTTGTAAATAACAAATAAAAAAATGGCAGATTATTGTACCTAAACCGAATTACCCAACACAGGAAGAAACAAGAAAAAGGTTATCACCTTTGATTTGGAACCTTCCTTGGCGCCGCCTACAATCTGAGGAGGCGACTTGGTGGTGGCCCGTCAAAGTGAACGAACCGGCGGCAGCCGCTGGCGAGGAGAGGTGTAGATCGCCGGTGATCCATTGACCATCGATCCCGAGTTCCCGACTGCCAGGATGAGAATGAGATCTCAGATATGGAGAAAGGGAGTGATTGGGACGGTGCCAACTGGACCGGGCACTTTATTGGGTCATTGAGTCAGTGGGTTTGGTGGCTCATAATTTGCGATTAATTTTTTGGCATGCTTTTCATCTATTTTAAGAGATGGATGTGCCCTTTTCTGCGCTAATATGAAAAAGAACCATTTAAATATAAGTTGCATATGGAAAGTGTATTTAGTAGCCTCTTAAGATTCGTTAGATTTAAGAACTGCAGGAGAGATGTGCTTCTACAATGATTTGAACATAAAGTACTCGTAGACGAATAACTCAAATCTGGTTCCTTCCCCCTGAAATGTTCGAGAAGATCATCAAGCACAATTATGGAGTCAACACATTTTAAAGCAAATTACTCAGTGCATCTGATTCTATCCAACCTCAGGTGCTATTTTCCAACTACATCTTCACAATGATATACCAAGACTGCCTTCACTTGCTTTGCTTGTCAGAAACGTCACAACTTAACAATTCTGATAATTCATTTTTCAGCGGGCAATTTTGATAACTTATTACAGATAACATTAAGTAAAACACAATGAACTGAAAAATGTTAAAAACAAAATGATTCCAAACATATGCATTACTTCATTGTCGAGCAATAACGAACACATGAAAGTATCCCCTGTTTTCAGAGTCTTAGTTTTGAGCTGTCGGTTGAATCAGGCATCAAGAGGAGATGCCTGGGTGCATCAGTCATCATCCTCATGGTCGGCCAAATGCCACCGACCATCCGTGCCTTTCACCATACCTTTGTTCTGCACCACCCACCAAGACGATGGAATTGCATACTCATTCTTCAGTGCGTCTTCGTGTTTGTTAACCAAAGCAATGTCTCGATCAATCTCCAGCTTGAACCCTCCGTTGCTCCCCTGCGTCCCGGCAACCCCATGCATGTAGCACTCCATGTCATGCCACGTTAGGGGATTCCCAGGGGCCTTCAGGTATGGTGACTTCCCTGTATCGATCATCAGCTCTGTGCCAGCATCGCTGTATCCTAGTTTTGGCCAGTTTGGAACCACATCAGGAGAGTTTCGAATGCGGAGCAATCTCAAATCTGGAGCACTGTCGAACGCTTTCTGAAAATCAGGGTTGCCCACTCTTGGGCTACCGAAGACGAAGGCAGACACTGGACAGCTCTTGTTGTAACCATTGGAGACAATGTCAGTGGCATTGATGGTGGCAAGTGCAGCCCCAAGGCTGTGGCCTGTTATGGTGATGCTAGTCTCCTCATGCTCGTACATATCCTGGAGCCGTTTGATCTCATTCAAGACCTGATACAAATATGTTAGTTTGATCGATCAAAATTCCTTTCCATGCACAGACAATGCTATTTAACATCTAGTAATCATTAATATCATAGACCCAGTAATCCAAGCTTCCTTCCCTTGCAATGCACTAGTGTTGTGCGATGATTGTCTTTATGTGGATTAAGCTTTGGGAGAATCATAACGGAATAATCTCCCACTTGAAACCATCATGATGCTTCATTAGTGCAGTAAGGTGGAACAGAGATACATGATGGCCGATTGGTGAAAAAAGGAGTCCTTACGTTGGTTCTCTACAATGGATAATAGGGAAACAGGAAAGATTATATCAAGTGTTGCTTCTTAAATCAGTTTTATTGCTTTTCATTAGTTTTATGTTGCACCAACATTTACCATACAACTATGTGCAACAGCAGGGCATATAAATAACAAGCACAGCGATTCTACAACATTTGCACGTGTACTATGTTATTTCAGTGAAGTATAAGCAAATAAGCAATACCCTGATCCATAGCATAAGCTATCTGGTATACATCCTTTTCTTTCCTTCACTTCAAATGAAACAACTCCTATCCTTCAAGCGTAACTATCGATCTACTATACTCTACTTTAGATACTTAAATATACTAAGGTATAACTTGGACAAAAATTGACAACGTTTGCTTCAGAAGATAAGACAATAAATATTGGCTTTTTCGTTGATATACTAATGGTTAAATCAAGAATGACATGAATTACCTGATATCTTGCACTCTGCTTATTGTACTGAGATTCTGGATCGGCACTCGTGTACACAGACAGCCACCCCCCATGCACACAAGGGTCATCAGCACTGCCTGGCCGTACTATTTCTGAAGCAGGTACCAAGGAAATATCAAGGTCATCCATCCATTCTACCATCCGTATTGTTCCACGCCATGCCACCACCACATCCCGTCTCCCAAGCACTTCTTTACCTTCATCTGTGGCCACCGCAACAAACCCCATCCAATTTGACTGCTTGCTCCATGCAGCCTTCGACCATGACTTTATCATGAATGCATCAGGCAAACTGACAGTACACATTGCATATATGAACTTTGTAATGACATACAGATTTGGGTTTGATACATCCACCCTGCTGAGGAAGTCCTTGCGACTGAAGAGGCAAGACCCAGCGTACCTTGATCTTCTCTCTCTGTTTAACCCCGTGTAGGCTGCCTGAGAAAGCTCACCATAGTTGATGATGTTATTGCGGAGATCAACGTCAAGAGGATCAAGTAACCCCTTCCAGTAACTCACACCATTGAGCTCTCTCCATCTTCTGGCGATATTTCCAAGCCCTCTTAGGGAGCTCATCTTTGCCGTATATGGTTGGTCTGTGATGCTTGGTACTTACAAGCCACAAAAGCTTGCAACTTCATATTCCACTGGGCGTCTGGGTATATATGTGTGTGTGTGTGTGTGTGTGTGTGTATGATTCTAGGTTGCTATCCTCTCCATCAAATCTGCAGTTCCATAAGCATGTAGAAGATGAGCTCCCTGTCATTCTCTTCCCTACCAATCAACCGCCCAACTTGGCAACCATCCATCCTGGATTTCAAAGCATGAAGAAACTTGCACGGATCAAATAAGGCCTAAAGGAGAAGTGGAGAACTCCATCATATTCATAAAGAAATGCCACCTGACACTACCCAGCACACCAAATCTTTGTGTGCCTCTGAAGAGAGGGGGTGGGGTTCACCAGTTGCAACCAGAAATGAGCAGCATCTTCTGTAGAAGATTTTTCTCCAATAAATGGCAGAAGTTTATACGCGTACTGTTTGGTATTTGAAGTATTCTCCAATAGAAGCATCCATTAGTACCATGTTTACTAACCAAAGCATTTCATATTAAAACCTTTAGTTCCAATGATTACTAACCATATGTATAATCGTAATCTTGACTATATCCTTAATAGAATAATATAGACCATGACCATACAGCCAAAAGTTCTGTTTGTGAAGAGCCATCTACAGAGTTATGATGTATGTAACCACCATTTTTCACTGTTATTGGCAACATCATCCAGGAAAGGCACATTTGTAAAGGAGTATTTTGCAACACTCATCACCAGAATTAGGCAAGGAAAACCAATATGAGCTTAGCAGCCACTCCATTGCACCTTTCTGAATATGGGTCTAGCTGCCTAGCTGGTCAAGGTCCTACGTGCAACAAGGTAAAGCCACAAATAAAGCTCAGATCTCTACCTATCACTTCCAAAGTACAATATTTTAATACATTTAGCAGCTACCTTTAAGTCTTGGCCTAACAAATTTCAACAGATGTACCAGTGCCTGAAAAATAAAGCTAATGCTACTTTCAGTTCACATTGCATTGTTTAGCTAATATCCAAACAGGGCCACAATAATTTTTCATTTTGATCTAAACTGAGTTTTGCTGTTCTATTTAAGATATAGAAGTTTATCTTTCTCAAAGTAGATGACTTAGTACCAAAGAAATAATACAATTATAATTGATAATACTATAGAATGACAGACATTATAAAAGAAAAGTTATGACTTAGTACCAAAGAAATAATACAATTATAATTGATAATACTATAGAATGACAGACATTATAAAAGAAAAGTTTATATGATTATAGTGTAACGGACTGAACTGTACCATGCTGATGTATTATGGTGACTCTCAAACTGGTGTATGGAAACTTGTATGTAGCTTCTCCTGATACATCAATCATTCTTCTATGCACAACGAAGCATCAGAACAGTCTCAACTATCGTGCAGTGAAACTGTTATTCAGATTATTAAACTGAGCCTAACATATCATGACCGATGTCCTGTTTTATTTATAGAACCATGGCTGAGTCCAGCTGTTTCAGCTTGAAGGTTATGGCATGTTTTTTTCTGTGCCAAAACAGCATGGCAATAGATTTGTGTTTCATACCAGCCACTGAACCTGTAAAGATCTATTTCCTGAAGAAATATAATCTAAAATGCCTGACCAGAAAAACATGATGAATGAGAATGAGGTACATCAGAAGATATATCACCAGAAATCCCCACAAGAGCATACCCCATCCTCAAACCGGTGAAACCGACGGTTATCCCTGAGAATTACAATCCTTCCTGTACACTTACTGAGATACTTAACTGCATTGTGGCAATCATCACAAACTCGTAGGTTCTTCATAACTCGTATTGGTACACCTTCTGGAACAATCAGAAGCCCCAAACCTATTGCTAGCCTTTCACTATGATACCTCATTGTTGCCTGCTTCTCATCCTTGTCCACATCCTTAACCACTGCACTTGTATCTGCTACATAACCAGCTGCCTCCATCTTCTCACCAACTTTCTCCAGCACATTGTAAATTTCGTTGCTTCTTGGATGTCTCCTGCAATTTGACACAAAGGTATGTACCTCCCCTGCAGCTTCCAGCCAGCTTAGTCCAGTCTCTTTACGTACACCTGCATCACGCATTGCTTTCCTCGCAAGTGCTGCATCCATATGCCTTCCTGCAGCTGCATACGTGCTTGACAAGAGCATATGTGCACCAGAGCTTCGTGACCCTGTCTCAAACAACCTCTTTGCAGCAATTGCTGCAGCGTCAGCATCCTTAAACATGCGACATGCCATAAGGAGTGCACCCCAGACATACTCAGGTGGCTCCATGGGCATTGACTCAATAAGGCCTAGTGCTTCACTTATACGTCCTACACGGCCAAGTAGGTCAACCATTGCAGCATAATGCTCAGCCTGCGGCTCAATTCTGTACTCTTTCATGAGGGAAAAATATCTCTTTCCCTCATCAACAAGACCAGCATGGCTACAAGCAGTGATCAAAGACAGGAACGTGATGGAGTTGGGACGAAATCCAGCATTTTGCATATCCATAAACCGTTGAAATGCTGCAGTAGTATGACCATGCTGAGCAGATGCATTGAGCCCCGCATTCCAAATTCCAAGGTTTCTCTCAGGTGCTTCACCAAACACCTGGTATGCACACTCCACAAGGCCACATTTTGAGTAAAGAGAAACAAGCGAGCTACCCACAAACGGTGATGCATTTAGAGCTGTCTTTATAGATCGGGCGTGCACCTGAGCACCAAGCTCAAAGAGTGTTGCTGCAGCACACACGCGAAGAATGCACGAAACTGTGAAGTCATTAACCGGCACTGCCTCCTCAAGTGCTAAGCGGAAGATCTCCATCGCCGCGGAATGCATCCCAGCATCAGCGTACCCACATATGAGAGCAGACCAGGAGACGACATTCCGCTTCGGCATTTCATCGAATAGCCGGCGGGCGTCGGCAAGGTGCCCGCACTTGGCATACATGTCAAGCACCGACGACCCGACAAACACGTCGCCGGCGAACGGTGTCTTGGCGGAGAGTCCATGGAGCGCGTGCGGGGCAAGAGGCGGGCGCGAGGAGTCTTCCGCGGCTGCGACCGCCTTGGCGGCGGAGGGAATGTTGCGGTCGGTGGCGGGGACGCCGGCCGCGAGCATGCGGCGGAAGGCGTCGAACGCGGCGGCGGGGAGGCCGTTCTGTGAGAAGGAGGATATGAGGGAGGACCACGCGGCCGGGGATGGCGGCGCGGGGAGGTCGAGGAAGGCGCAGAGGGAGTCGCCGGGGAGCGCGCAGCGGGCGTAGAAGGTGAGGAGGTGGTGGGCGATGGGCGCGTGGGAGGAGGCGGTGGCGGGGAGGTGGCCTGCCTTGAGGAGATGCCCGTGGAGCTGCTGCCCCTTGGGGAGCGCGCGGGCGGCGGAGAGCGCGACGAGGAGGTCAGCGAGCGAGCGCGCGCAGGCCGGCGGCGGCGCGGCCGGCGGCCACGGCGGGGGCATCGTGGCCGCGGGCTTCAGGGTCGCACGGTTTCAAAGCTTTCTCGTTCGGTTTTGCGTGTACGATGGGTCTCGGCCCTGCTTAATTTTAATGGGCTTAGTTGTGTAGGCCCATAATGGGCTCTTCGAAGGAGTAGGCCCATCGTGGGCTTAATTGAAGGGTCTGATCAATCTGTAGGCCCCATTATTTTGGTGATGAAGATACAAATTCTATCTTGGTTTTTTAACACGCTTTTTAGACATTGTATTTCGTGTAAAACTATTTTTATAGAAGTTTCTTTAAAATATCATATACAAATTCTTTAAAAGTTTAAAATAATTAAAAATTAATTAATCATGCATTAATAGTTTTCTCATTTTGCGTGTTCATAGTTAACAACTTAAACGGGACCTTAGATCACCATTTCTTTGTCATTTTGTGTGTAAAGTGCAGCATCAACGCTTGAAATCAAGAGATAATACCAAAGTGAGAATAGCTCAACTGGTGGTTAGGTTTCTTACGGTAGAACCACCATACTCGGATTCAAATTCTAGATTTGACATGGGTGTTCGTATTTACAGCTTTTTTCTTTTGGTGGTAGGAGAAGTACCTGTCATCAGTGATACACCTATAACGACTTAGTCATTCTCAAGATATGTCATCCTAGTCTTTCAAAGCAGATGCCTGAGTTGACTTCGTCATTCTCAATACATGTCGGTCCAATTTTTCGGAGATGCTTATAGGGTTAGGGCTGTGCGTTTGTATTCGTCATGGTGAATGTGCACGCATTGTGAGCGCTTACGTTTGTACTATTTTTCTTTAAAAAAAAAGCGATAATAGCATCGAGCATGACATTACTTGAACTTATTTCTCCTCGAAATCATCTAAGTAAACTGAAATAATTTCCTCCATTTCAAATTCATCAATAAAACCAGCAAAAGATCTCCGGAGATCTCAGCTACAGTAGTCAGCTGGATTCTGGAACAGCCATAGCACAATTCTAGCAACTATGCAGCAACGGAGGATCCGCGAACGGCCCGTTGAGCACCCCGTCGGCGATGACATGGTACGCCTTCTCCGTCATATGGACACCGTCCCAGTTGGCGAAACTGCCCGGATCACCCCAGACTGTCGCCGTCCTGTCGCACGTCGCGCCGGTGTGGTACGGGCCATGGCCGCCGCAGCACGCGAGCAGAGGATCATTGATACCTGCACGCACGCCAATCGCAAACAGATCGATATTCCATATATCAGTACTGTGGTGTGGCGTGCGTACGCATCTTGCGGTTTTTAACGATGCGATGCGATCGAAACAAGCGGCAGCTCACCGAATCTGCGTGGATTACGGAAGAGTTGCAGGGCGGCGCCGAAGTAGTCGGCGTAGATGAGCCTGACGCCCGGGTGCTGCGCCTTGAGCCGGCTGACCTCGTTGAGCAGCGCCTGGTTGTGCGCGGCGGAGAAGGCGTTGAACCACCGGAGGCAACGGAACTCGTCGTAGTCCGCCGGGTTGCCGCTCCGGTAGGCGCTCAGGTACGCCGGCACGCACCCGGTCGGGAAGTTCCCCGGGATCATGATCGTCCTCGCGCCCAGACCGATGAGCTCCTGCGTGTATGCGATTGTATATGTACATGGTGCATGCTACGTCAGTGGGATGGTTCATGTTTTTCATGTACATATGCAATGGTTCGATCAGGATATGATGGTTTGTGCCGACCTGGACAGTGGAGCTGATGCTGGCGACGACATCCGGGATGAACTGGTAAGCAACCTCGCGAGGTTTATGATCTAAGAACCAAAAGTTGTAGTCGTTGCCGCCGATCTCACCCATCAAGATAAGAGACTCACCGAGCAGTGCTCTCCTAGCAGCTGAAATTTAAAATCAGGACTCAGGAGCAACATTTTAGAAACTTGAAACGGACAAATTGATCAGCTGTGTATGTGCAGTGTGCACTGTTGCCCGTGCACACGGTTTTTTTTTTTTTTGGTTGTTAATTTTACAAGTACCACGTACTACTTACCGTCCCCGGGAGCGATCCGCTGCAGCGTTTGCTTGAACCACTCCAGCTGCGTGGCGAGGGAGAAGGGCATCGGCACGGTGTGGTTCCGCCTTCTGAAGTACTCCGGCGGCAGCGCCGTGGAGGCCAACACGGCGAAGTTGGCGCCGTGCGGGAACTGCCCCCTGTCCTTCTCGGGCAAACTCGGTGGTACAAACGGAAGCTGGAGTGCTTGCGCTGCAACATATATACGCAAGCACATGGTGGGCATGTCAAAAAAAAAAAAAACATGTACTACACACAGTATCATCATCTAAAAAATGTACTACTGTATTGGGTATGTGCACTACTACTCGAATTAATGGTGCTCTACTGTATATTCTCTTCAGTTACTAAACATAAAGTCAAGCTTTTAATTTTTTCCATCAAATAATCTTTTATTGAAAATATACAAATTATGCATGTAGGTTTGATAATTAAAAAAAATCAAAATGATATATTTTCATGATTAAAGAGGGTACTATCTATGTAAACAATAACGGATCTAGAAATTTTCAAAAACCTGGACAAAAACATGGACAAATGATTTTCAATGTTGTTGAATTACGAAAATATTGGCTATCCTAGCTGTGTGATCCGCCCTGACTGTAAACAAAAGAAAAATCAATTTTGACCATACATGGGAAAATAAATTTTGGAACAGTCAGGGAGGAGTTGATGGGCCTATGAACTCACCGTAGAAATCAATAACGACACGGCCATCAGAGATGCGGCCGCTGGGGTGCTTGAAGTAGGTCATGCCAAACGGTGGTTCCTTGAACGGACACGGATGGTCGCCGGCGATGTGGACGAAGTTGCCGCTGTCGATGATGGAGTCGCCGAAGCTAAAGATGCGCTTGTAGCAGCCACACAAACCCAGGGTTGAGTTCAGCAGCAGGACGGCGGACACGAGGACGAGGTATACGGAAATGGAATGTTTCTGGTGACTGAAACTTCCCATATCTGACAACGGCTGCTGCTGCTCTGCCTCTAGGCTGGAACAGCAGAGATCGACAGAGGGATCGAAGACAATGGACACAATGTTGTTGGCTTCAATTTATCGCCTGCATTTTAAATGGCTCATTCGAATCCCCTGTTATAAATGGAGATGTAGTCCAATTATGGTATTATTATGGTACCATATCACAACATATGCAATACATCCGAATACTATTAAAGTGCTTCTTAAAGTATTTTGGACAGTTCCTTCCCTGTGGTCAAATGCAGATTGATGGGAAGCCGTGTAGATATAGTATTCTAAAGATATGTGTATACCCATAGTGACGCCACATTGTAGCTGTAGCATCAATGGATCGTATAAATGTTGATTCAAGATAATTTTCTTTTCTCATAATTGTATTTGAGATACAACTCTTTCTTCTAGTTTTACAAATATAATTGTATAAAACCATATCTAAATTTGGGCCTTTAAATCAAAGCAATTCTGGAGGAATTTTCAAGGATTGAATTCCTATGGAAAGACATCTATCCTATATGGTCATTTAGAACAAGGGAATGGCTCTTTCAAATCTTTTGAAATTCCTTAGGATTGTCTCAATCATGGAAATTTTGGAGGATTTCCTACATGAGGATCAATCTCCTGGAAAAAAAAACCTTTGTATGTCTATATCTCTGTTTTAATTCCTGTGTTTTTCCTACGTTTTATCCAAATAATCATTCATTTAGTTTTTCTGTGCTTCCCAATCCATAGGATTTGAGATGTCGAGGCGTTTGAATCCTACATTTTTTTCCTATGCCCGTGTGTTTAAAAATCTTTATTCTTTTTAGGCCCCCTTTGATTCAAAGGAAATTCATAGGAATTTTAAAGGATTTAATTTCTATAGGAATTTTTCCTATATAGCCCTTTGAATCAAAGGAATGAATCCTATGGAATCCTATAAAATTCCTATGGAATGCCTCTTCCCATGCAAATTTTGAAGGAAATTTAACATGAGGTTCTACCTCATGTTAAGAATCCTTCGAGTCTTTCTCTCTCCTCAAATTCCTGTGTTTTTCCTGCGGCTCAATCAAACGGTCATTTCTATGTTTTTCCTGTGTTTTGCAATCCTCTGTTTTACACTTGTATTCCTATCAGAATCCTATGTTTTTCCCATTCCCCCGTTTTTTCATTCCTGTGATTCAAAGGGGGCCTTAGAGTTCTACCAAAAGAAGAAAATTTTCCATCATAGGGTTGGTACCTTTGAAACTATTGGTTACCCTAATTCTTAACACTCTCCTAGCTAAGACCTAAATATTAAGCGTTAACTCGGAAAATGAGAAGATTTATTTAGCAAATATAATTCTATTTCAATATCCCTCCTGCAATTATGGGGAAAATTCGATTAGTCCCATGCAATTGCGCGGGAAATTCAACAAGTAGGTATTCTTATATGGGCCCCGGTCTACCATGTAAGGAACCGAGCATTTTGTCACTCACAAACTCAAGAGCTCGATAGCTAGCCTCATCTACATTACTCGTCGGTCCTACTCTCCTTGACTTGATCAATTAAAATATTAATGATTTTTCTTTTAGATAACATAAGTTTTTATTCAAGATGATACAACCATGCTAAAAACATTCGTAGCCTCTACATACCTAAAATGCACATAGCCTAAACAGATACTCAGCACATAACCTAAACGCACACCATACCCACACTTGTTTTGAAAGAATTAAACATGAAGAATTAAGGGTTATCAATTCGTAGATTAGGTCGCCACCCACGCTCGTAGGTAAAAAACTTCTTGGCCACTTTCCAATTGCTAACATGTAGTAAAAGCAATTAAATTCCGTAAACTTGGCTTATGAAGTAGCCCAAAAACGAAGCCAGATTAACCTGCAAAGGAGAATCAATCTTTAAAAGCTACACCATTCCTACATAACCATACCGATCAACATATAGCAACAGCTCATATTAGGAGTAAAGGTCTCAAAACTTTAGATAAACACAAAAGCCAAACTCCCGTCCCGAACATATGTGAAACACTATAGGATGGATGTAGGTTTGAAACTATTTGGGTCAAAGACCAAACCGAATGAGATAGACGACATTTAGAAAAATAAATGTGTGGTCATATCTTACATAAGCAGTATATCTTGCTACGGGTTTACGCTTACCAAATGTTATACTCCGGACTCCGGAGGAAGGAATGCGTGCGTTGCGTAATCAGATTATTGTTATTTGCATTACTAGTTCACTGGTTGATACAAATATATATGCGTAAGAGTTCCCAAGAATCTCTATCCCAGAATTAAAGCCACGCACGAATTCCAGCTAAATCCTCTAGCAGAGCAACGGAGCGTCGGCGTAACGCTTGCTCAACACCCCGTCGGCGATGATGCTGTAGGCCTTCTCCGTCATGTGGACGCCGTCCCAGCTGGCGAAGTTGGCCGGGGACCCCCAAACCTTGGCTGTCTTGTTGCACGTCATGCCGGTGTGGTACGGGCCGTCGCCGCCGCAGCACTCCAGCAGAGGGTCACCGATACCTTCCAAAACCAAGAACGGATCGATAAAACATTATTAGTCAAACAAAGCAATGAAGCATCATATATATCGAACACAATATATAGGATTTATGGCGTGCTCACCGTAGTTCTTGGGGTTCTTGAAGAACTCCAAGGCGGCGCCGTAGTAGTCGGCGTAGATGAGCCTCACGCCGGGGTTCTGCGACCTGAGGCGGGCGACCTCCTGCACCAGCGCCTGGTTGTGCTGCCTTGAGAAGTCGTTGAACCACGCGATGCACCCGGTGGCGTCGTAGTCGGAGGTGTTGCTGCTCTGGAAGCCCTGGAGGTACTCCGGGGCGCACCCGAACGGGAAGTTGCCCGGGACCAGCACGGTCTTCGCGCCGAGGTTGATCACCTCCTGGACGGCGGCGCCGATGCGGCCGATGACGTCGGGGAGGTACTGCCTCGCCGTCTCGCGTGGCTGCCGCGCGGTGAACCAGAAGTTGTAGTCGTTGCCGCCGATCTCGCCCATCACGATCAGCGACTCGCCTAGCAGGCTCTTGGTGGCATCTGAAACAGAGACAAAGATTTATATATATATCCGACATGATCTGAACACGCTCTTCCATGCACTGCACGCATGCACGTTAATCGATCAAATTAACAACGTGTTCGCGTGATTGATTGTTTACCGACTCCAGGAGCTATCCGACCGAGCACTTTCTTGAACGAGGCGAGCTGGTTGTCGAGGCAGTAAGGCACGGGCAGGCTGAAGTTGTACTTGGTCTTGAAGTAGTCCGGCCCCAGCGCCGTCGACGCCAGCACGGCGAAGTTGGCGCCGTTCTCGAACTGCCCTGACCCCTCCTCCGGTATGCTCGGTGGTAGCAGCGACAGGTTGAGCGCTTGCGCTGAAACACACACACGAGCAAATATAGATTGCCACGCGCGAAATCAAGAAATGGCACGTGTATATAAAATTATATACATGCTACATCTGCAGATGCAACTCACCGTAGAAGTCGACGAGGACGCGGCCGTCGCAGATGCGGCCGGAGGGGCGGTTGAAGTAGGTCATGCCATAGGGGAGCTCCTTGAACTGGGACGGGCCGTTGCCGGTAAGGTACACGAAGTTGCCGGTGTCGATGATGGAGTCACCGAAGCTGAAGATGCGCTTGTAGCAGCCGCACAGCGCCACGTGAGTGTTGAGAAGGACGACGGCGCAGAGGAGGAGGATGAACGATGCCGCCGCCGCCGACGATGACGGGGAAACGGCACGGCGCCCCCCATGGCGCCTGATCAAGCTCTCCATCGCCAAGAATGTACAGATCGAGATGATTGCTAGAGAGAGATATATACTTGTCGCGATCGTTCTGCATTGCTTGCATATGCAGACCCCCTTTTATAAACCTCCGTGTGATCGAACGCGGATCAAAATGTGTCAATGCTTTCCAAGATCGGCCTGGTGGCGTCGGAACCCGATTGTGGCACCAAATTAAATCTCCTGGTAAGGTAACGGCAGCAATTCATATTTCAAGCCCTTCCAAGGATAGAAGTAGCACGTTAAATATGGAACGTTTTAAAGTGATTCAATTTTGTTTCCGAATAATGATAATAGCCCAATATACTCATAAATGCAAAGATTATTTACCGTCCCTGTTCTTACTGCATTTGTACATATTGTTCACAAATCATAAGAACTAATATCTGTTTTTTTCTTTTTGAAAAAGGCAAAAGCTTTTCTCACTTTTGTACTAGTAATAGATTATAGAGGAGTAAATTCACAGCACGGAAATATATACAGGGTCTATCACAAACAATAGACCCGCAAAAGAACTAGAATAGGGCTATTCTTCGAGGGGATGATCTCTATGATTCATGTGCCTCCCGCCTTGATCCACGCTCGCGCATTCTCTTTGATCTTGGTGATAATTGTAGCCATTGTGGTAGCTATGTGTATAAAGATCCTGGTATTTCGCTCGCACCAAAGCTTCGAGGCCACAAGGATGATCACCAATTTTAGTGTCTTTCTCGGCACATGGGGTATACGTGACAGTTTGTACCACCATTCTTCTACATTGGCGCAGTTTGCCCACTCATTTATTTGGAGGTCGATATTTATCCATCTTTGAAGTTTTGTCCATATCCTTCTCGACAGTCTGCAGTTGGCTAGGAGGTGTAGGACCGATTCTGTAGAAGCTCGGCACATTGGGCAATTGTGTTGGTTTGTCCTGTCTCTCTTTTGGAGCCTGTCTATTATCCAGACTCTGTTTTGGATTATGAGCCAAGAAAAGAACTTGCGCGCACTTAGTGGCACCCAACATTTTGAGATTGTCTGGTTGAAGATCGAGCCCGCTGCCCCAATGAATTGTAATGTATGCTAATTTGGTTGAGTAGACACCGTTCTCACTACAAGAAAACATACAATTAGCTACCGTATATTTAGTTACCAAGAAGTTTGGTGCCTAGATATTAATCAATAGTAACCAACATGCTAATACCTTGGTTTCTGTAGCTGTCAGCACGTTACTTGAGTTAAACAATACCAATTACCTCTACAGTTACCAAGTTACTGGCCAGTACTTGGTCACTAGTCACGTGACAACATATAGCAACCAAGGCATGTACCTGATATTTGAATATGTGGAGTACTGGAGTGCAAAACACACTTCCTCCCGATCCCCATCCAGAAACAAATCGAGAGGCAAGGGAAAGGTCTCCTGCGGCGGCGGCGGCGGCGGCGAGGCGAGATCTGCGGCCGGCGGCGGCACCGTCGACGGAGTTTTGCGGCGACGACGCCGCCGCCGCCGCCGGCGCTCGGTGGAGGAGTCCTTCGCGGCCCCTGTGCTAGCGCCCAGGAATCGGTGGTCTCTGCGATGGCAGCGCCCGAGGGATCGCTGGTGGTTTAGCTACAACGTCGTCGGGGCAAGCAGTTGATTCATTGCAGGCAGCAGGAGGAGTCTCCACTTTGATTCAAGGTAAGTGGTTAAATTCTCCTGATATTCTATGTTTGCACACAAACAATTTGTTTAACTGGATGTGCCTTGAACCTGATCTATAACCCAAATGAATGTTTGTATGCACTATTATTCAATGGTTTTTGTGTGAGATTTGATCTGCTATAACATGAGTATAACATGAGTGTGACTTACAAATCTGGTTGACTGCACTAATTTGATTAGCACACAGTATTTCGAATTTTAGGGTTTTAGAAATGAATTGATTTCCATGACATTGGGTTAGCATGTTGGTTTGTGAGTGCCATGGCTTTAGAAGTTTTATTGCCATTTGTGAGGAGATTAAATAGTTTTAGATTAAATAATCTGTAATACTTGCATTACCACATTGGTGATTAATTCTAAGGAAACTTGCATTTATGCAGAGGATTAGAATATGGACAAGAGTTGGATGAGATTGCCCGATAGGTTCTCTAGGGAGTATATTGCTGGGGTAAACGCATTTATTGAATTTGCTTGTGAACACAATGGAGAGAACAGTTTTATATTTTTCCCATGCGAAAGGTGTTTGAATATAAGTCAGATGGGTGCCAATGATGCTCGAACACATTTGGTGTTGTATGGTATACAATTATCATATACAAAATGGGTATTCCATGGAGAAGTGGCCAACAATTATGATCAGGACGATGAACTTTTAGAGGATGAAGATAATGGGGATGAGTTTGATGGATTTGATACTATTCAAGATCTATTAGGTGATATCCATAGGGCCACAATTGGGGTTGCAGAGCAGGAGAACCAAAGTGGTAATAATGGAGATAATGTCCTCTAATCTAATCAAGAGGCAGTCCGTTTTGATAACTTGCTAAGAAATGCACAAAGAGAGTTGTACCCAGGATGCAGAGGTCATTCACTGTTATCCTTCTTGTTGAAGTTAGTCCACTTAAAAGATTTAAACCATTGGACTAACAAATCATTTGAGATGCTACTCAAATTATTGAAAGAAGCTTTGCCAACAGGTGACACACTTCCAGCCTCATATTATGAAGCAAAAAAGATGTTAAGAGATCTAGGGCTGGGCTATGAAAGCATACATGCATGCATCAATGATTGTGTATTGTTCTGGAAGGAACTTGAAGACTATGATAAGTGCCCTGTTTGTAATGAATCAAGATGGAAAATTCACAAGGGAAAGAAACGTGTACCTCACAAAGTTTTGCGATATTTTCCTTTGATCCCTAGGTTACAGAGACTATTTATGAACAAGGACATAGCCTCAGACTTAAGATATCATCGTGATAAGCGTGTAATTGAGGAAAATGTCTTGAGACATCCAGCTGATGGCGAAGCTTGGAAGGATTTGGATGGAAAATACCAATGGCTTGCGCACGATCCTCGCCATTTGCGCTTTGGACTTGCTACAGATGGGTTCAACCCATTTGGAACTTTGAGTAGCTCTTATAGTGTGTGGCCTATTATATTAGTTGTATACAACCTGCCACCATGGAAGTGCATGAAGGAACCCTTCATATTAATGCCCTTGCTGATTCCAGGGAAGAAAGCACCTGGAAGGGATATTGATGTGTACATGAGGCCCTTGATTGAAGAATTGAATCTACTCTTTAACACTGGAGTCAGTACATATGATGCCTTTGTAGGAGATACTTTCAATCTACGAGCAGTAGTGCTAGGCACTATTAGTGACCTTCGTGCATTAGATTCACTATCTGGGTATGTGGCAATGGGCTATAAGGCTTGCCCGATATGTTTAGATTGGACTGATTCGTGTTCGCTAAGAAGCAAGATTGGTTTTTTGGGTCATAGAAGATACTTGCCTATTCAGTATAGATGGCGAAGAAGTAAGAACTTTAATGGCAAGAATGAAACATCATTGAGGCCAAGACAGCTATCAGGAGATGAAAATTTTGCAATGCTACAAAAATTAGATCATCTACAAGGCTTCAAGTATGGAAAGCATGATGGAAATAAGAAAAGAAAGACCTCAGAAAGGGACATCCCAGGAAAGAATTTTACTAAGATCAGCATTTTGTATGAGTTGCCGTACTGGAAGGAACTCAAGTTGCCACACAACCTAGATGTCATGCATATTGAGAAAAATATTTGTGAGAGCGTGCTTGGAACTCTTTTGAACATAAATGGTAAGACTAAAGACACACTTAAGGCTCGCATGGACTTGCAAGACATAAACATCCGGAAAGAGCTACACTTGCAACAAAGGGGCAGCAATGTCATAAAGCCTCCTGCTTGTTATACACTATCCCAAGAGGAGAGACAAGATTTTTTTCAATTTATAGAATCTGTCCGCTTTCCTGATGGTTTTGGTGCAAATATATCAAAAGGTCTAAGCTATAAAGAGGGGAAAATAACTGGGTTGAAGACACATGACTTCCATCTGCTTTTGCAGCGAATACTTCCAATTGGAATTCGAGGGTATTTGCAGAATGACATTTGTGATGCACTATTACAGTTAGGTAGCTTTTTTCGTCAACTATGCTCTAAGTCATTGAAGCTTGATGTGCTGGAAAAGTTAGAAGAACAAATAATATTTGTGTTGTGAAAATTGGAAATGATTTTTCCACCTGCATTTTTTGATATTGTGGTACACTTAGCAGTCCATTTACCACAACAAGCAAGACTTGGTGGACCTGTACAGTATAGATGGATGTTTTTTATTGAAAGGTATGTGTTGATTAGGATCCTTCTCTTTGTTCTATAATTTTGTCGTTGTACTGTAGTAAGTGTATATTATTGGTATGTAGGTTCCTTGGTACTTTGAAAGGCATGGTGAGCAATAGGGCACATCCAGAGGGTTCAATCGCGGAAGCCTATATTATGAAGGAGTGCTCAACATTTTGCTCTATGTATCTCAATGGAATTGAGACAAGGTTCAATAGGGAAGAGAGAAACTATGATGGAGAGAGGCAATTCGCTGATCGCTACTCAATATTTTTATCTAGATTCTGTGCTTTTGGTCACAAGGATGACGTAATCCTAACACAAGATCAATATAATTCCCTGTGTTGGTACGTGCTCAATAATTGTGAAGAACTGCAAGGGTTCCTATAGTAAGTAAAATAAAATGATATTTCAGTAATAGTTACAAATAGTTACATAGTTACTTGTACTAATATATCACATGTCGCAACAACATTTTAGTGAGCATGAGGACGTTTTAGAGGCACAAGGCGTGGGAAATATAGCAAATAGACTGCAACAAGAGTTTGCTACATGGCTGCGCCAAAGAGTAAGCTCACACTTGGCTTCACATAAACTATATGTCCATTGTTTGCATTAGCTAACATGCATTATTTTTGGCAATTAGGTTATAGATTTGCGCAAGGATGGTTCATCCCAAGTATCTGATTGTTTATATGCCCTTGCAATTGGACCACACAAAAAAGTACATAAATACTCTGGATGTATTATTGGTGGAGTTAGATTTTTAACAAAGGAGCGGGAGGAAGGTCGAAAAACTCAAAACAGTGGAGTATGCGTTGAGGGTCCACATAAAGGGAAAATCATAACATACTATGGTACTCTCACAGACATATATGTCTTGGATTATCCTAATGATCGGCAAGTTGCATTGTTTATGTGTGATTGGTACAATCTGGAGAGAAACAAACCAGTGATCATTGACAATGACTTTGTTAGTATTAATATAAGCAAAAGGTGGTACACAGATGACAATTATGTATTGGCTAGTCAAGTTAAGCAGGTCTTTTATGTACCTGATACTAAATTGAAGGGGAATTGGCAAGTAGTGCAAAAGGTTAACCATCGGCACCTATTTGATCCAGAGGTTTGGAGTGCTGGGAGTGAAAGTGCTTTAGACATCGGTGCTAATGAAGATATTGCCTTTCAAGAAGAAGAGGGTGGTGATATTGTTCTGGATGATACTTTTGAAGCTAATACATTGAGTCGCGATGATGTGATTCTAGAAATTGTTAGTGATTCAAAAGAGATAGCATCTTTAAAGGAGGGTCCTGTTTCTCGAAGTGAATGTGAAGAAGAAACTGAGAATTAGATTTCTTATGATTCTATTATACATCAGTAAGTATGTAAGTAAATTAATGAATGTTTTCCTTCATATAACTTATGTTACATATTTTAATTATTGCTCTAGGTATATATGAACTAATAATGCTGTCAAAACTTCTTACTCTTATCAATTGTTTGTGCAGTTTGTTTGTTTTTATTTATTTATTTGTTACTCCATTACTTGATTATGCTCACTTATTTATTTATTGTTAGCTGCATATGGCACCTGGACAGAAAGTTCGGCCTCCAAGAAACTCACAACCATCTAATTGCCCACAAACTCAGCATGTTTCTACTTCCAACTCCAAGAAAGTGCGCGGAAAGAATAAATCAAAAGGTTTGGAGCGCCTGATCAAAAAAGCTGGTCACCCACTGAACTTGAATATTTCAGTAGAGAGGAGGCCAATTGGAGAAAATCATGAACTACTTTCAAGGGAGATTGGGATTGTTACTAGGTACCATGCACCTATCAAACGCATTGGTTGGAACAATTTTAGTGAGGCTGACAAAGAACCTTTGTATGAGCTTCTGAAGGTATATAATATTATTATTTTTATTCCTTTATGTAATATCTTTGACTTCTCTGGAGTGATCTTGCAAATACTAACATCTGAATTCTATCTTTTGCAGATGAAATTCAACTTAGATCTATCTGAACCTCATGTTAAAGGCTGTCTGGAGCTACTATTTTCGTCAAGCTATAAAACATTTCACCATAGATGCTATACTCATTATCTCAAGTCTGGTGGTGGGGACAGTGCTCGTAACAGTCCATATGAACCCCTTCGTGACAGACCTGGTTATTGGACTTGGCTTTGTGATCATTTCGAAACAGAAGAATTTCAGGTATATGATTCTTTGCATGCTTTATCTTATATCTGAATGCATGCCTCTTAACAACTAGCTAAATTTATTTCTTCTTCATATTAACTAAGGCATTTTCTATGTGTTCCTTTGGCTATTCTTGCCATATGCAGAAAAAATCAGTTATAGGGAAAGCTAATCGGATGAAACTGGCATATGTTCATAAAAAGGGAACCAAACCATTTGTGGCACTTCAGCATGAATTAGTAAGCTAAATTTCATCTATTTTCCTTATGATTTATTTTTCGTAAGCATCTGTTTAAGTAAATATTATGTCTTGGCAGAGTTGTGATCAAATCTCATTGTACAAGGAATGCTATTGTAGTGACAAAGGATGGGCGTCAAGAGATGCTAGACAGAACTATGTAAGTATCATTCTAACGAGTCATTTTCACTATAGTTAAGTGTCTTCTTGTGCTAACAAAAACTTTTGATTTTTTTCTATATAAAGGAAACAATGTTACAGATGCAGCATGAAAATGAGCAAGAAGGTGCAATCCAGCTGACAGAGCAACAAATTTGTGAGAAGGTGCTTGGGAAGGCATATGGATATATTAGAGGGAGAGGTCATGGTCCGAAACCTAATAGAAGAGCTTCATCAACTTCAGCAAACACCTATCAACAAATGGAAGAAGAATTGGCTTCTACAGAACAAACTGTGGCAGTTCAACAAAACCAGCTTGCAGTATAACAAAATCAGCTTGAATCTCAACAAAAGCAACTTGATTGGTTGCGCAGTGTCGTGTCCAAACTTGCTGGTATTCCACCTCCTGCTATGGATGATAATGATGCCTCAGGACCATCCCACACAACCACAACTTCAATTGATGGATCCGGTATGCAACATTTTTTTTTCTTCTAAAAGAAAAGAAGAATATAGTGTTATAATACATAGAAATGACAATTAACTTTTGTTAAATTTATTTGATAGGTTCACTGGTTTCGGATGGAATGTCAAGGAGATCATGATTTTGAAGATCTTTGATTAGGAGGTATTACTACTAGAAATTGATTGCCCAAACCATATGGAAACTTGAGCATGCATGTAGTACTGCTTCTATAAATTCATGTTTGAATTGAATCTCTAATGTATACGCTAGAATTCTATAAATTTTCCAATCGACTTTTTATGTCCTGTTTCTATTAAAACTCCACTGTAGTCATAGCACTGTTTTGAATTTTTTTCAATTAAATTTTAGCAATATTTCCCATACTCCATGCATCTTAAAGTTGCAACTAAATTGAAACTTCGTTCCTATGAAATAAGTTCATCATTAACAATTTTGAAGAAGACAGGATTAGAGGATCGACCAGATCAGCATAGTAGTGAATACGAACATTTTATATATGTGATCCAGTCCATGACATTTTCTAATTTCCCTGAGATTAGCTTTTTTTCAGGAACACCGCAACGTAATCTCCTAGGCTATTACATCATCTTGACAATACTCATCATGGTGTTTCAAAACAAGCATCAGGTTGCGATGCTCCAAGAGACTTGTATAAACTCAACCATAGTACTACAGAAATTTTGTTTACTTTGTGGTATAGTGATTCGTAGTTCTGTTCAGATAGAAGTGATTCATATTTTTCTTCAAATAGATTACTCATTTAGAAGTTGACTTTTGGGTATAATGATTTCCTTGTAAGACTGCACATCAGTTTTAATGTGTTACCGTGTCAAGCATGTACTCTAAGGTGAAGCTTGAGATGAGTTTATTGTAGCACTATTCTGCAGTTGATGCTATGGTAACCTAGTTGATTCATATATGAATTGCACATCAAATTGCCATAGTACTGTAGTTTCTATTAATTGCTCTGTCTGAATTGAATTATGCAGTGGGTGAACAAACCTTTAGTCACCAAGGTAATTAATGTTCTAGGTGGCAGGATGTATGTACTTACCAAGGAGGGTTGGACACAACATACTTTTAGTTGCCAATTACTTGGTGGCAAATTATAAATAGTCACCAAGCAACCTTGGTTATTAGATATTTTTAGTTACCAAGTACCACTTGGTTCTAAAAAATATATAGTTACCAACATTTTCTTGGTGACTATTGCTTTTACATATTGTTACCAACTATGGTTGGTAAGTAATTATATTATGTTTAGCAACCGAGGAGATCACACGTTGGTTACAAAATACATTTAGCAACCGGGTTGTAGCCACCAAGATGCGACCAAGGTTCATTGGTAGCGAAAACTCAATAGCAACCAGCTTGTAGCTTATTGTCACCAACCACCTTGGTAACTAATGGTCTGTTTCCTTGTAGTGTCTGAGTCAATTTCTAGGTGATGTCATCCGTTTGATCATTGAGGAGTTCTATGCGTTAGACTAATTAAATCTCTGTATTGAAGGACAAAAATCGTATTTATTTTTATAACGTGTCTCAAATATATATACATTGTTGCATGTATATAAATATATTAGCTTGATGCTAATGACATGTACATATTTTCATAAAAAACTAAAAGTACTAACAACTACATGCACACTTAGTTCTAGTTTACAAAATGTCAAAAGAAAAAGGGAAAATTGCAAAAGCACCTTAAATGCCAATCTGAGTTGGAGATTCCCCCTATAAGATGATTTGTTACAAATACCCCCTCTCCTAATTCACCTTTGTATGAAATTCCCCCGAATAGCCGTTACTTGCCTATTCTTGTTCCAACAAACCACACATGTGCTCATGTGAATTCTAGCAAGAGAGGAGCTGTGGTGGTCAGTCATGTCGGTCAGACTCTATATGATATGACTGTGACGTTCCTAGTGATGGTACTGAGCATGTCATTGGACAATGGCGATCACAAATCTGTTGAATAGTCTCACATTGGTTGTGGAAGGGCAAATGACCTAAGATATAAGTGGGGGAGCCCCTCACCTCAATGGCTAGCTTTTGGGGTGGGAAAGGCCCCTTACGATCCTATATAATTGGTATTAGAGCCTGGCTAGTTTAACATCTCTGGCCCGATGGACAGTGTGTGAAGGCCTGATAGACCATGGGTGCCTATGGGGCCCGTATACCTGAGGGACCGTGGTGAAACGGTGAAGGGGCGGTGAAGGGTTGAGGGACACCAATGTGTGAAGGGGGAAATTGTTGAATAGTCCCACATTAGTTGTGGAAGGGCAAAGGACCTAAGATATAAGTGGGGGAACCCCTCACCTCAATGGCTAGCTTTTGGGGAGGAAAGGCCCTTTACGATCCTACAAAATCTTCGCTCTTGGATATCTTGGTCACTAGAGGATGAGCTGTCGCGCTTACTTCCTGAGGTTTGGTGGAGGTTGGTTTTTATGTAGTAGATTTAAGATGAGAATGTTGAGCTCGGTGCAACACTCTGTCGTTGAGAACGAAGATGTGTGCTTGGTGAGACACCCTACCACTGAGAAAGAATATGTGTTTTGGGACATGTACATGAGGATATACGCTTAGTTGTATAACACATGTAGAAAGAGAAAAAAAACACGTGAGCAATGACAACTGGGGTGAGGTGGGGGGGATATCAAACCTAGGTGAATTAGAAGGGGGTATTTGCAACAAACCGTCTTATAGGGAAGAATCTCAAACTCAGATTGGCATTTGAGGTATCTTTTGCGATTTTCTCTAAGAAAAACATGAAAATAGATATGAAAATTGATGCTTATGCACCAAAATTGTGATGAAGCAACACTCAGAATATAGAACTACCATTAATTATTGCAATTATACTTTCTTATTTTAGCCAGTAGTGGAGTGGAATACATTGAGCTATATCACAAGCTTTTAAAGTCAAATTTTGGTAAGGTTATTTAGTGGATTCAGTTAAGAAAAGATGTCGATCAACCAATGGAAGTTTATCTAGAAATGACCGAGTTCAAAGAGGAATCGTGAAGACCACGGCATAGCAGTTTAATTCTATATATTAACTCGACAAGATTTTGTAATTTTCCTTTTATCTTTAGGAAACTTGTATCGAGTCCGATCAGGACTAGTATCAATCCGTGGGTATAAAAATGTACACCCGGGGCCCTTGTAATCTATCTCTCGATCAATACAACTTTTGGCGCATCACCACCCTCTTTTTCGAGGTTTTATGGCCAGAGGAACTTGGCACCTGGTGCAGGGCTGCATCACTTCGATCTCCCGCGAAAGGGTAAGTCCTAAGTTCTACCAACCCTGGCAGTGGCAATTGTATCGGCTATATTGGCATTGTTCAAGGCTACATCGTTTCGATCTCTTGGATTGTTATGGTTCAGTTGGTATACTTGCCTACCTGATATTTCAATTCTATCTTTAATTGCAAAATTGTATTTATAGACAAATTAGTTTAGCTGGGACTGTCTCGATTAGGTCTGATATTATGTCTTCGTCGATATATCTCTACAATCACAATGTTGTTTTAAATAGATTTGTTATATCCATCATGTTAGCATAGTCTATGGGCTTATCTAGCTTATTGATCAGATGCAATCTAGAACTATCTCGGTTAGGTCCGATCTTTGCATTGTTTTATCGGAGTGCTAGCAGATAAGTTATCTTTGCATCAGACTTTCAGCCGATGTATGCATTAACCATCGAGTCTACATTTAATATTATGTATCAATATCAGCCGATTGGTTTATTGGGCATCTACTTCATCATATTATCAACGGCTGATTGAATTGTCAGTTCAAGTTCTTCCATTGTCTTTATCCAAGTGTCAGAATCTACATCGGATATATAACCAATTGTTCAAAACCCTATCGACATCGGTTAGTACCGCTAAATCGGCTTATTGGCTGATCAACTCTTTGATCATCAATTTATCCATCTTGTCAGTTGCAGGATCAAACTGACTAGCACGCCTCGAATCTCATAAATATTTAGGACCTGCACTATAGCTAAGCAGATCTCCTAAGCCTTTGTGTTTTTTCACGTCAACACAAGCATACTAGATTGACATCTTCTTGCAATGGAAACAAGCGAGGGGCTCCTAATTCGCAATGTGCCCCCTTGTTCTTTCTCTCCACCAACACCCCCGCTTGCTTCCCCCGTCCCCTTTCTTCCCCATCCCCTTGTTCTTTCTCTCCACCAACACCAGACACCAATAGAGAGCGAGCGAGCAATGGCACTCTGGTGAACTCCTCCGATGGAAGAAACGGAGCATGCAGCGGTGCAGCAAGAAACAAAGCGCCTCACTTAGTCCCTCCGACGGATTCCTTTCGTCCTCTTATGATGACACAAGATCCAGGTCAGCTCCAAGCCCTCACCTCTTTTGCTTCCCCCACCGCTGCCCAGCCTCACCGGTGTGGCCCCGCCCTTGTCGGCCTATCCCTCCTCTTCACCTCCCGTTGCCCTCATCATAAACACCGGCCCACCGCATGCAGTTGACTCCGCGGTCTCGACGACACCTCCGCCGCCTCATTGCCCACCCTTGTCCACCACCCACCGCCGGTTCACCACCTCCTAGGCCATCCCTCTAAGCCGATCCCCCACTTCCCCCTCCCAGTGCCACCTTCCCTCACCCACCCCCCTGAATCCCTAACCCTAACCCTACCCCGAGCTTATTGTTGCATGGTCAGAAAACGCGCACGCTTCCCCCTGCCGCGCATGCACGGATTAGGATTCCTGAACAAATGAATACTACGAGAACAAGATAAATGCAAACTAAATATTATGAATGGGGAATTAAACACAAGAAATTGTTAAATACATAATGGATACATGGTCGAATATATTTAGATTATATCAACCTAGATAATCAAACAAATGAACTACTGAGATATATAAATGATTAGTCTTTGACTAAGCCATCAAGAACTAAAGACAAGATGAACAGTACATGGAAAAAATTTAACTAAACAAAACACAACTTATGAAGGAAAATAGAAAAAAAATTAAGTGCTTTGATTCATGGAGGTGGGAGGTGGCACACTTGAGATGGAAGTCATAGAACTAATCCGTTAGAAGACCCGATGGCATAAGTTTAACTCGATTTCAGCACAATACCAGCTTATTTCGACGATTCCACATGAACCTTTTATCCGCACATACATTCTATGAAAATAACAAAATATAGTCACACAATTACAAATCATAGAGGACCTTGTATTCAACAGAAGAACTGAGCTCTGTAATTTGCAGGCACGAAATGGTGGTGGTAGCGATTGGAGGTTGTGTGTATGAACCCCATATCAGGCCAGTTGCAATGGCCTTATAGACTGCTTCTGATGGATGAAAGCCATCCCATGACCCATACAGTTGTGGGTCATCGCACACCTTGTATTCACCATTTCCACATCTTGCAGTTTCAGATACACCATAAGGTCCTCCTCCACCACAGCAAGCTACCAAAGGATTCTCAATTCCTGAAACACAATCAGAGAATTTTTATTCAAGCTATCAACGAGAATAAAAAACTGTGATTTGTCAATGCAAAAATTAGCATAGGAGCGCATGCCATGAGGTGCTGAAAAATAAACTAGCCAACTTGGTAATAAATTTGTGGAGCAGAAATCCTATTTAGCTGCTGTGACTAAGATACAGGCATATATAGATAAAGATTTGCTTTGGTTTGAGAAGTGCTAAGGAAATCAAATTTAGATGCCTATATATTGCTTTTCAGCTCCTCTCCTCTAGATACTTTGTTGTCTACTACAAATAGTTGAAGCAAGAACAAATATAGAGTGTTTGTCATCAAGCGATTCATTGTCAACATAAGGAAATCAAATTTAAGAGAACACACATATAGAGTATTTTTCTTGTAAACTAAAAACTAAAATTAATATGTTAAGCTTTACAAAAGAAATCAGAGTAGATACAGTAATGAATTAACGAAAATCACCAAATTGTTCAGGGGAAAGGAAGATTTCCATAGCAGCTCCATAGTAATCGGCATAGATGATGGCCACATCAGGATGAAGCTTCCGTAAATTTTCTAGTTCATCCATAAGAAGTCTGTTGTGGTATTGCGAGAACTAGTTCATCCACCTGAGGCAACCTGTCTCTGGCTCATAATCTTCCTTCTTACCACTCTTGAATATCATGAGATAATGTGGAATACATCCAATTGGGAGATTACCAGGAACAACTAACGTCTTGGCTCCGAGCCCGATCAATTCCTACAAACTCAACTCTATTGCATTACTAGCCATATACACTTGTTCCATGTTGTGATACATGAGCTTGTGATGGTGAAAAAGGACTAGTTATACAAACGAGTGAAGTGAGTCCATCTCTAACAATCCAAAAATTCTTATCTTTAGACCATTCTGAGCCATTTACAAATATTACAGCAAATATGATCAAGACATTTATAGCTCTCACATAAATAAGAAGATGTGTCACAGCTACAAAGAAGGAATTCCATAAAATATAGAATAAGACATCAATAAATTATAGACTAACAAGATGTTTTCCCCATGTCAAAATTAAAAAGGTTCTCTCCCATCCATGAATTTGAGTTGTTTTACTGCTAATTATGGGTTGAATCAAATTCTTGCATCTAGGTATATAAAAACAAGAAGTTGAAAATTTTCAAAAATTGGAGCCAATTCGTGTATTTCAAACCTTGAAGCCCAGACACCTTATATATATGTATGTATGTCCATAGGCATATTACTCACAGTGATTGTGGAAGAAATTTTGGCAATGATACTCGGAGTGAAGCTGCGAATCTTTCTAATGGATACCCCGCCCATAAGAGGATGGTTGTAATCATTGCCACCAATTTCTCCGACTAAGAAGAGAGATTGATTCATCATGTCGTTGCAATCTGTGAAATAAACATGGTTAGAATTAGCATGTAAATATGTAGTATTGTTGAAAAGGGCCTTTAAGTATCAAAATTGATGCTTTATATGGTAGTTAAACATTCATCAATATCTGCATATTCATTTTTTAAGCATATTACAAACCAGATTTGTAGCAACATAATCTTTCCACTCGCATATTAATTGTTTTCAGATTTTTTTTGTAGGCCTTCGAGGAGTGTAACCATTTCTCGCATGACAATCACATCATGCTGACCAAATATTTAGCAGTGGCATGATGTGTGCTTATCAAATAATTTTAATAATTTCTGATTTCATCCCATGAGTATGTCTATTTATAAACTAATGCATTCGGATTTGTAGTGCAAAATGAAGAGATAAGCAAAATGTCTGAAAATGTTTCTTTATTGAATTTAATTTTAACAAAATACACTATCAGTTATCGTGTATCATGATGATTAATTGATATATCATGGTATGGATGTTTGGGTGTGGGGGATTTTGGGGGGGGGGGGGATATCCAATGAAAACCATCAAATAAATGAAAACCCGTGAAAACCGAACCTATAAGTTTTCTAAATTAATGAAAAAAATACTAGAGATATGTATAAACATGAAATATATTCATGTCCAAACTCAACTTCATGTGGGGGAACCAAAAGACAAATTTTACATTAAACAGTAGATTTGGTGGGAATGTATTTCATGCTTATACTTATCTCTATTAAAAAATGCTTATGTCCAGTTTTCACGGGTTATCTTCGAATATTCCCCCTGGATGTTGAAATGGACAGTCTTCCTTAGTGCAATCAGAAGCCACCAATCATCAATTCATAAATAAATTCCACTATTTCTTGGTAATGATAAATTGCTTTCCATATTTTTGTTGGTGCAGTTCTCCTCTTTGGAAGCACAATTTATTGTTGTGCCATAAACTAAGTAACCACAATTCATAAGAGTTTAGATCTCCGACTTTATTCTAGACAATCCAATATTCCCATTTCTCAAACAGACAATGAACATGGAAAGTTAAGGAAGGTAAACTAAAAAAGTGAGATAGAATGTTGCTACTATCCATATCCACACAACCCTCACTGAATGACCTAGTGCCATGAATTGTTCTATTAGGATAGAATGCGTGTAGTCAAACCTACAAATCTTAGCTCATTAATATATATAAACATATTAAAATTTGATATGTGAAAATGACATTATTATATTGTCATGGAAAATATTTTGATGCAACTATATATTTAATGTTTCATATGATCAGAGATAGTGATACAACATGCTGATACCATGTCAATACCCTAACAAGTAAAGAAATGGATGGAGTATATCAATATATTATCATGGAAAATATTTTGATGCGACTATTTATTTAATGTTTTGTATGCTTTCTGTCGCGTTGCTTGCCTTGGACTAGGTGGCCACAACGTACACACCCATGACGCATCACAATCTATCGAGCGATGCACCGTTGCGCTAGCCAAGGGTTAAATGTGTCATGCAGCCGTAGGGGCTGCACAAGCCTCCTCTGCCCCTATTCCGTTCGCCAGCCTCTCCCATCTGGCATTCATTTCCCAGATGGAGTTGTGATGGGAGAGGCGTACCGCGCACAGCCGGCAACCACACGACGGATCTAGAACAATGGGTGGTATGCAGCCAGAATGCGCACCCCTCTGGCTGCTATCTGCTGTTGGAACTAATCATGACTTGCATATGTCTTTGGGTTTTGCATTAGTTGCATGTAGAGAGGAACGTGATATGTTCATGTATCTTGTAAGTGATGTGTATGTGTGCATCACGTAGGTAGTGGTTAGTCCATATTTGCATGTAGAATCAGTCAGTGCTAGTGAGTGGCAGCTGCGTGTGTTGCAGCACAACTAGCAACTAAACAGGTTAGGTGAATAACAAGATTAGCGGCAAGTTAGTTAGGAGCATGCAGGATTAGTGGAGCACGTTGTGGCGTGGCTCGCGGTCAGCTCGGAGGAGCGAATCTTGGCGTAAGATGCGCAGATCGTTGTATGAGTGAGTGGCTTGTAGTCGTGCGTGCGACCCGGCCGGGCTGTTAGCTATGTGCATGTACGGGAGGTTATATAAGCCGTGTAATCATCAGTTAGTTTTAGTAGATCAGCAATATCAGAGAAGTCAGCAAAGGCGTGTGTCGCCGACGGAATCTGTTGTGTGTGTGTCCACCCAATTTGCTGCTCGTGTGTGTTCTCCCGTGAGTTTGTTGCTTACGTGAGTTTGTGATTTTCTTGGGCCAAAGCTAACATCTGCTTCCTAGCTAGAGTGTTCTTCCACAGTGTTGGTGACGGGCAGTGGGATCTAGTCAATGATAGGTGCCTAGATGTCACACCTAGCGTTTTCCCTTTTCCGTAGTTTCTAATTCACCAATAAATTGTCTATAGAAATTACTTTGGCTAACCAGGAGAAAATCTTAATTAACAATGTATTCAATAATCGAAAATGTCAGGCAGAATTTTTTTCGAATTCTCTTTGCTCTAAAATCATTAACAGGATTTAAAGCGGAATATTCAGAGCACTGGAATTAATGTTGTTAATTTCAATTGACAGGATTTGAATTAATAATAAATTTTCTCTCCCGCATTTGGTCATGAATTGTGCCTGATTCACTCCCCTCTTCGTCCACGGTTTAGTTTTGCATAACGAGCCGAGTCCGAATCCGTTCGCGGTTCTGTTTCCGTTCTTTTCCTAAAACGGCACCGGATTTCTTTTCCTATTTGGGAAAGTCATTGTCCTAATCATATTCCTATTTTTCCTCCCCCTCTCCCTCTCGGCCGTGCCCCTCCTCTCCCTCTCGGCCACGCGCGCCCCTCCCCTTGCCCGAGTCGGTTTCCCCCCTCTCCCCCTGTTGCCGCCTCCTAGCCGGCCCCACCTCTCTCTATTTTCACTCCCCTATATAAGTTGTAACACCCCCCTATTCTCCTATTCAATTTTATTTTCCTAAGCCCTAGCCGCCACCAGCGCCGCCGCCCTAGCCGTCCCCGCCGCTACCGCTTGCCGGCTACTGCCGCCGCTGCTGCGCTGCTGCCGCGAGCCGCAGCCACTTGCCGCCGGTTCCGTTCGCCGGATCGGTTGACCGTTTGGATGGTCCCGTGTCACGAAGTATTGGCTCGTTCAGTTGTTAATTCGTGAGGCTTGCTTACCGGAGATATATTTCCATTGATCTATTTTATATACGGGCAATAATATGTAACAAATGATTAAGTTTTTTCGGTTATTAGTAATAACGTAGCTCATATTGTAAAATTCATAACTAAATAATCCGAGCTCCGTTTTAACCTATTCAAGTTGCAGTGAATTTGTTAAAATGTATAGAATCCACTAAAATTGGTTTCTTTTGCTGTTTCAGTAGCCTTAGTGCTTGTATTTCTTGTGTGCTTTGTTTGTCATTTAGATTCCATCAGTTCTGGTGATCCAGTTTATTTCGTAGTGGTTGCGAGGTTCCGTCAGCTCAAGAGCAAGGCAAGTCATACATACAACATTAATCATGTTGAACTTGTTTTATAAAATCCCCTGCTTTCCATTAAATTGCATTGTTTTAGAATGTCATGTGGGATGGATGCCTATCATGCTCAGCCTGTTGAATACCTTATGCCATTGATAACTTGGGTTATAATTGACTGGATGATTGGTTTAGGGATGCTTAGCCATGCTTAGATCAATTAGCTCACAATGGGATTCATTATAATTTAGTCCTTAATTATATTATGATGTACCACCATGGTTATGGTTTAATTAAACTAAAATATGCTTTAATGGTGGGTTGTGGATACATGCATGATTTTGGAAGTCGTGCCCATGACAATTAAGGACCGGTTCTCGGGAATCCCTGGAAGATATAATCGTACTTACCACAGGCCAGCATGGGCTCCATGCTAAAGACGTGCGTACTGATGCTGAAAGCAAGATCCACCCAGCATGGGCCATGGATAGATAGAATTGAATAAGTGCTCAATTGCCCATATGAAGTTAAATGTTATAAATTTGATGGACAATTTAGTGTTTATGACATTTATTTAAAATTTATCACCATTATTCAAGGACACATACAAATGAGTTAAATGTTTACAAAGTTAAAAAAACGTTTAGAAAAAGCATTTTAAGATAATATACTGATGAAGAAAGTTACTAAGAGCAAATTTAATAGGAGACTATAGTCAGCTATAAGCATATATATAGAGGAAAGAGACAAAGAAAAATAATAAGGATTAGCTCTAATGCAAGAAATAGCTTTACACATGCTTCAAGTAGAAATTCGTTTTTGTTTTCCTGTATATATAATTTTCGATGAATGAGCCTATGGTAATCCTTTTATCTCTACTTTATGGCCTGGACAATCTCGCTCCAGTCTAAACTACCCTCGGGTAGGTGCTTAGGTAAGTCCTCTTCTCTAAACTAGATCCGAAAACCAACTCAAACAAAACACGCATAAATGCATTAAATATATAAATGAGAGAAAGAGGGAGAGAGAGAGAGAAGAGAAGTGGAGACAACCTTATAACTAATCTATGTAAACATGTTAACTTCAACATTATTATTATATGGGTTTATAGCTAGTAGTAGTTAGCTCAAACTCCTCTGAGCGAAATCTTAAATTTGGAAGTGTGCCCAATATCATCACCATCCAACCCCTAAACCAAACAAAAGGCCAAAATAGTCTGTGGTCTCTCCCACCTTCATGGCATTAAAACCTCACCTATTGGCGGCTGCTGGAAACGGATCGTCGGCAGTGGAGGATAAAAGGGAAACTATTCTAAACTCCCGAGGGGATGTCCCCTCGTTATTTGTATGTCACTTAAATGGTTATGAAAAACATTAAAAAGATGTATTAATATGTGATATATCACTCCACAAACATACAAGTTCAATCAACTTCTACATCTCGCAACCAAAAAAATAAACTACAGCTAGCTAACGTATATTCATAGTCAAATTTGTATTTTTGTTGTGATATGTAGAAGTTGAATTTTAA